ACTGACACACACACACACACTTCTAATACAGTGAAGTAAGCCGCTTCATGCAACAGAATGATAAACTATACCATCGATTTGATTCAAGTTCACCACCATTACAGAGTACAACAGGTGTAGTGAGGCCACTCTTACATCCAGCACTCAAACCGATAACCAACGATCATAATGTTTGTAGTCCATAGTTTACTTAGGGATACTATAAAGTGTAAACTGAAGGGGTAGAGAGAGGTAAGAACATGTTTAGTGTTCCGCTCTTGTCGGGTTTACTTCACTCGTGTGTTTAAAATTCCTTGTGTTCACTCCTCAAAACATTACGTGCATTGTTATCTCTTAAGACCCAACATTTGATGACATTTTCGTCGCAAGCAAAGTCAGTTCCTACGAGGCTATAATAATGATGCAACAAACGAACTCTAATGGAGTATAATTCATGTCATCAGCCACTGAGAATAAACGCACCTCCCTCACTACAGCCAACTGGTGTCATATATTGGTACCCATGCAGACAGCCTAGTCCATTCTAACATTATAGAAATAAATGGATCTGTTTACATTTACCATTTGTGGGCAGACAGGTCCTACGCCTTGGTCCAGGCTGTTGACATCTTGATCTTATATGATGCTACGGCAGTTGAAACACACACACACAAGATCTTCGCACGCTCCTTTTTCGTTAAGCAGACCATCACTGAACCATGTCTGATATTAGCAGGAACAGACCACCGAGTATTGCCAAGCTTGTGGTCCGTTCTTACTTAAACAGATTTCATTCTGTTATTGTATTCGCCGTTAAAAAAGCGACGAAGGCCTTCTCATTGTTTGCTTAATTCACTGTCGTTTTTTCTTGCATTGCTTCTTAATATTTTAATGAAAATCCGAAAGTAAACAAACCAATAATAAATGAGCTGAGTCACTGTCTATAATTATCGTTTTCTCCTTACATAACCGCGTGGGCTGTCTCCGTCGATAGCGTTGTAACCACTTCTTGCTCAATAACACTTCTATAATACACTAAATATCTTTTCCCAAATATTCACATGTACGTATTATGTCTCCTTAATTATTATCAATGCTTATGTAGCCTGAATACATCGCTGAGTTATGATGTGTCCTGGCCATGAGTGAGGTGGACCACTGAACCACTCCTGCACCACCGCTCACGACGTGTCTCTCGATATCACAAACATTTATTGGTTTATGAATGTGGTGTCTATCATTCATGTTGTTCATTAAGTCACTCTCTAGATGTTAATAATACAGATTCGGTTCAAGACAAGCTCTAATCCTCTGTGCTTCAGTAAGGCCTCAGTAAAAAAGCGACCTCCTAACACTATCAACAAGGACACTGAACACAGCCCCACGGGTACCCGAGTGGGTGTATTTGGCTCGAATTGAGAAAAATGGTGGTTTGAACCAATGATCGAGCCAGTAGCTTGGCCACTGCTGTGTCGTTCCTTCCTTGAATGTTAGCATTTCCGTTGTATTGCTCGGAAATTTCCTTTCACTTGTTTGCTTTGTATAGAATCGACGCTGCATTTGCCTTTATTTATTCTATTACACGGTTTCCGGCAACTCAACCAGCAAGGAGAGATTTCGGTGCTACTATAGCGTGCCTGTCGCTTCTTCTGGTGTTACATGAACCCCGAGATTCAGACTTGTGAATCCGAAGCAGCCGTGGACTGAATAATAATGCTTCCATGTCTACTGCTTCTGGTTCACGAGTCTGAATCTCGGGGTTCATGTAACACCAGAAGAAGCGGCAGGACAACTCAGGGAAGTATGACTCTGCTGCCTCTTTACGTTAACACCCATAATATATCTTTGAGTTACTTTGTCCACAATTATTACAACATTTACGTTGGTGAAATGAGTGTGTGATATTTAGTCAGTAACTTGCTGCCGGTAGAATGGTCTCTATGCCACTACATTTTCTTTACGCCAAAATGAGAACATTTATATAGACCGGCATCTCAGACTACCCCGGATATACTGCCGGATAAGTGTTTTTTTTTTAATGTCCGTGTGTCCGGTAGTTGCCCGGCTAAACGTGAGAAGGAATAGACTCAGTTATTTTGATAGACAGTAAGAGGCAGAGTGAGAGAGTTAGACAGTAAGAGGCAGACAGAGAGTTAGACAATGAGAGGCAGACAGAGAGTTAGACAGTGAGAGGCAGAGTGAGAGAGTTAGACAGTAAGAGGCAGACAGAGAGTTAGACAATGAGAGGCAGACAGAGAGTTAGACAGTGAGAGGCAGAGTGACAGAGTTAGACAAGAGGAAACAAGATTGAACGAGCTGATGGAGGCGAAGATCAATAGGCCGAGCGTGTTGGCCTTTCAGCTGGCGGTTCACTGGCTGTACTGGGCGGAGGGAAAGCGACCTGAGTATAACTGTAAACTTAAAACAGTCTAAATATGGACTATTTTTGAGTAATACAGAATTTATGATACATATATAGATAACATGTCATATATAACTAGAGTATTTCCACGTAATGTTATGAATATCTGGGTATTTTCATGCTATGCTGTTATGAATCGCGCGAATAACTGGTTTGAAGTTGATTTACGTTACTATATGCTTGATTTTGTATAATCCTTACTGAATAATGATAAAATAGACATGTAGTTACTCTATAATCCTTGTGAAAATGACAAATGGCCAAAGAACCTCACAATCTCTCGCTGAAAAGTTGAATCAGGTCAAGTAAATTTCTATATGAATATTTTAGGGCGAATAAAAAACTCTGTCAGGCGGGTAAACGTCATAAGTCACTCGCCCTGGGTAAGGAAATCCTCGATATAATATTCCCAGCTTACTTCACGCCACTAAGATATTATTTACGCCACTATTCGACAATAAGTCACTAAAATTTTATCTACGCCACTAAAATATTCACCACGCCACTGAAGTCTTATCCTAGGGCGCACTTTACACTACGCTACTAGAATTCTATCTACGCCGCTCTTAACTTGGAGCCACCAAAAATATTTACCACGCCACTAAAATAAATATGAATAACAACACTACAGCCAATAAGGGAGACACGCGCACACACACACACACACTTAAGTCTGTCACGGTCAAGGGAAGTATAAAATATTACTCTATTTTTTTCTTGTCTCAGTCAGGGCAGACAATCTTTAGGACGATAAGGGAATGTGAATATTTTTGGCCCGGCAGCCTAATGGTGAAAAAAATAACCTGGATCATCACTTTCTCCTGAGCAGAAAGGCGACGGGAAGTCCTAGATTCTATTGGGTTTAAATAATTTGAGAAAATGCTTGATGTATTGTGAACGTGGTCACCAGAAGGCTTAGGTTAGGTTAAGGACTATACTTCCCGTGATCCTGTGAATGGTACTGTGAGACATTGTTCGCGCTTTTGTGGTAGAGTGTGAAATATTTGACCAACATGACACTGCCACAGGACAAGGCAGGAAGGATTGGAGGAAGAGTTTCTTGACGAACTGATCCCTAACCTAACCTAACCTAATTTGCATACGTATCTTACTAGCAACGTTGTGAGATTGGTTGATATCAGCTGAAAGGCCAAGGAGCTATTGAACCAACATAGCTGGCATGTTTATCACCTAAACTGATAAACAGAGTGCGGCAATGTGCTCTCTCTCTCTTTCACTCTCTCTCTCTCTTCTCGTTCTGGTTCCTCGTTTAGTCTAACATATAATTCCCTGAACAGCGATTAGATAAACAATCACATTTTGCACGATAATATATGTTCTTGATCTGCAGGTGGAACTGACTCAACGAGAAACAGAACGATTAGGGGTGTACAGTGTGTGAGCGTGAGGTGTGGAAGTATTTCATTGAACTTTAAGGAGCAGTGTGAGAGCTCAGGTGGGTCAGATAGGTGGACTAAACAGGTGGGTCGTCATCATCAGCACGTACACCTTTACCATCGCTACACTTTCCCTCTCTCACCTACAACTAGAGCGATGACCTGCCACTGAGGGTACCATCACCTGTACCAGCCCTGCCACTGAGGGTACCATCACCTGTACCGGCCCTGCCACTGAGTGTACCATCACCTGTACCAGCCCTGCCACTGAGGGTACCATCACCTGTACCAGCCCTGTCACTGAGGGTACAAAAACGCCCCCAGGACCCGGGTGGTCAGGCTTACGTCACAGGAGGGATGCGACCTGGAGGTTGTGGCCTGGGGTGTGTGGCCTGGGGGGTGTGGCCTGGGGTGTGTGGCCTGGGGGTGTGGCCTGGGGTGTGTGACCTGAGAATGTGTGGCCCTGGAATGTGTGATCTGAAAGAGAGTATGGCCTGGGGTGTGTGGCCTGGGGTGTGTGTGGCCTGGGGTGTGGCCTGGGTGTGTGTGACCTGGGGGTGTGTGGCCTGGGGTGTGTGATCTGGGGGTATGGCCTGGGGTGTGTGGCCTGGGGGTGTGGCCCGAGGTAATGTGGCCTGGAAGAACACAAACTAATGGTCATTGGGGCCATTAAATGACAGATTACGTTTCTAGGGGCCAATGGAGGCAATTCAGGGTAATAAGAGAAACAAGGGCCACAAGAAGTCTCCAGGGAACAGTAAAAATACCACAAATCTTTATTACTGTGTTCACCTCAGATGTACTGTGGATCACTAGAGACTATTATTAATTAATAGGGACGCCGTCAGAGGCCATTAAGAGCCATAATATGCGACTATGGCCTCACAAGCACCAAAGGCAAGTAATATATACTACTTGGGACACAACACGCCCTTAGAGGCCACTCAAGGCCAGTAAATCATTTACCGGACCAGTAATTGCAGGGTATTAGACGCCTCTGGCAGCTGGCAGAGTCCACTGAAATGGACCACACTGGGGCAAGGCCATAGTAGATGGGATCATAGTAGATGGGGCCATAGTATATAGGGCCATAGTAGGCGGGGCCACACTGAGCGACGCCTACACTCTGGACATAATCGTAAACAACAATGTTGTGGGAAAAAGAGAAGCTTAAGGAAGCGGGTGTTGCGTATAGCGTATAGCGAGAGAGAGGGAGAGAGAGGGTACGCCAAGTGCCCCGCCCACCACCACCAGTATATAAACTGTTCCTGCTCTACCCGGGCATCAGTTACCTCACATCTCCTCTCTACACAACATCATGAAGGTACTTGACTTCTTTACACTTAATACTCATAATGGACGCACGACCACGGGACCTCAACTCTCACAACTGACTCCTCGACGACACCGACCAACAACAAACCTTCCTCACCATGACGGGTTACTGTAAGATGCTCTGTTGACTCATAACAATACATAAGACTTGAGCGTGTTGTGATTTATTAATATATTGTATCTAAACAAGTCATTGAATTAGTGATGGACTCAACCAAGAATTCGGTGCTTCACCTACAGTATATAGACAATGAACATAGTGGATTTTAGCTAAATATATGGCTGTTTGTTGGTGAAATTTCAAGTAAAATTGTTTAAAGTTTCTATGTAAATATTGTTTATGATGCAAAGTTGGATGATTTATTCAACTTTTATTTTGTCTTGTAGACCACACGTTTGCTATGAGAATCTTTTCGCTGTGACAAAATGATTAGTCGCGACAGCTAACCAGACAGTAGGTCAGTGCTTAACCTGACAGTGTTGTTCCTCCTACAGACAGTAGCTCTGGTGCTCTCGGTGGCGGTGGTGGCGTGGGCGGCTCCTCAGGACAACTACAACTACCAGGCGCCGGCCGTGCAACAGCCTCAGTACCCCGACGCTCCCGCCCAGTACAACTTCCAGTGGGACATCAACGACGATTACTCAGGCAACTTTTACGGTCACCAGGAGCAGAGAGACGGAGACAACACCCAGGGCAGGTGAGTCTACGGTCACACCTCAACCCACCAAACGAGTGGTCATTCCTCAGTCAGTGTTTTGTTGCCATCACGACGTTTATTAGATCATATAAACACGAGAATCAAGATCGATTTGTTTTTGTATTTTCTTATAGTCTTGTGAATATATAGGTATTTTTATCTCCAGTGTGAATAGACTGTCGGTGTGTTTTTACGAGATTATCTTAAAAGTTTAAGTCCTGTATTTGCAACAGTATCATATTTTGTTTACTCTTCTGTAAATTATTATCCTTTACCTCATTTAAGAAAAAAAAAATCGTATATATTCCTTTATCTATCTACCTCTACATATATTGGTCTTTACAGCAGATTATTTTTTTCACTAAACCAATAAACCTTTATACAGGTAACTTACTTTCTCTTCATGTCAGTCATTTCTCGTAAGTCTGGATGTTCTCTTCCTGAATTGGGTATTCAATTTGTGGTGAACCTCTTCACCTCGTGGCCCTGACGTCACTCTTCACTCAGTAATCTTGTACCTCCGTCCACAGTTACTACGTGAGGCTGCCTGACACTCGCCTCATGAGGGTTCAGTATTACGTCGACGACTACGGCTTCCACCCCACTGTTACCTTCGAGGGTGAGGCCCAGTACCCCAGCGCCCCCACCAGGGTCTACTCCCAACCTGCCCCAGCCCCCCAGCAGACTTATCAACAACCAGCCCCAGCCCCCCAGCAGACGTACCAGCAGCCCACCCCAGCTCCCACACAGTACTTCTCTCAGCCAGGAAAATAAACAAAATCTCTACACCTCCTCCATCTTCTCTCTGTTCAGTGTGTTCCCGTCCGTGTGACAAACAACTATTCGTGTAGATCCCTTTCCTTAGAAGACTTCAAGCTATGACGTCATCTGGGATCATCTTCCAGCACAAATGTGGAGGACACGAGTCACTCACCTGCCTGCCTGCACTAATTATTTGTTATCTCCTGTTGTTACCTGTGTTCCCTAAGTCACCTGGATGTATGTGTGTGTGTTTATCCACAACTTAGAAAGAGTTGCGTAGGTGTTTATACCACGCTTTTATAACTATATTTTAGATATACATATTTTTATACTGAGAATATATAAAACATAAAGATTATTTTGAAATTTGGTGTATCATTGACAAAAATCTCCATGTGAATTCTTTGATCAGACCAAGAGTTTGTTTTACCGTAAATTTCGTTTAAGTCTTGTGAGAAACTTTTGACGGTCTGTTTGTGTGTTTCCTCTCGTCCCCACGGCAACACTCAGGCAGAGCTCACTTGTCTGTCAGTAATAACATGACTACCAGGTGTGTGGTTGATACATTAAGACTTACCTGCCCAGGGTGTTGTCTCTATTCCTCCTGGTGACCGTAGAAGTCTCTTTAGGTGTGGTCGTTGGCGTCTCACTACACGAGAGACGATCTTGGGTACTGGCGGCACTGTGGGACTCCTCCACTACCCATCCCATCCCTTCATGACCGGCCCTGATGCCTGCTGTAGAGGGACACCCGTACTGGTATAATTCCAACACTGGCCAGTAATAATAAAGCAGTTAATAGATTATAGATACATGAAATCATACAGAAGTTTGCTTAGGATAATATAATCGATGTTGACACTAATCCAAACATCATGACAAGTACAGCTGAATGGTTGTGTGAGTGATGTGATATTTATATAATAATTAACACCAGTACTCCAACATACACACAGTACTCCAACACACACAGTACTCCAACACACACTGTACTCCAACATACACACAGTACTCCAACACACACTGTACTCCAACACACACTGTACTCCAACACACACTGTACTCCAACATACACACAGTACTCCAACACACACTGTACTCCAACATACACACAGTACTCCAACACACACTGTACTCCATCACACACTGTACTCCAACACACACAGTACTCCAACACACACAGTACTCCAACACACACAGTACCCAACACACACTGTACTCCAACACACACAGTACTCCAACACACACTGTACTCCAACACACACTGTACTCCAACACACACCTCCAACACACACTGTACTCCAACACACACTGTACTCCAACACACACTGTACTCCAACACACACTGTACTCCAACACACACACAGTACTCCAACACACACAGTACTCCAACACACACTGTACTCCAACATACACACAGTACTCCAACACACACTGTACTCCAACACACACACAGTACTCCAACACACACTGTACTCCAACATACACACAGTACTCCAACACACACTGTACTCCATCACACACTGTACTCCAACACACACAGTACTCCAACACACACAGTACTCCAACACACACAGTATTGGATGGGATATTCTATATTGAATTAGGTCATGTTTGTAGGGCAGAAAACAGAGTGACAGCATCAACAACACTAAACATGATTGGGGTAACATCACTAGTGGTGTACCCCAAGGTCCAGTACTGGGACCATTACTAATATAATCCTTGACGATATAGATTATAGGCGAAGAAAGCAACATAGATGGATATGATGTTGAGACAATAATGGGCATTTAATTATATCTAACGAGAATTTAACCTAACCAAACCTAACTAAACCTAACCTAACCAAACCTAACCTAAACAAATTTATTGTTATCGATCAATAAACGGCAGATGTGTTTTAATGTAAAGGGGGAAACTATAGGTATCCGATGAACTACGTAGAGAAATCCAGCTAACAAGGTACTAGGGAGTCATAGTTCTAGTAGAAGTGAGGTTAGGTTAGGTTAGGCCTCACTTGGGTTCTGTGTTCGGTCATCGTGTTATAGAATGCATATCGATTCCCTATAGAATAGCTAAAGGAAGATGGCAAGGTTAAGCCTGGGCATGAGGAACCTTGAGTGAAGAGACAGATGAAGAAAACTGAATTAGCATTTTCTTGTAAGATATAGAGTGAGGGGACGATATGGTCTAAGAGTATATATTGAAGCCGGGGTTAAATAAAGGTTATACAACAAAGATACTGAAACTGTCTAACCAGGAGCGAACAGATAGATAATTACTGGTTTTGAAATAGAGTTGTGGAGGATTGAAACAGATGTCCAAACAACAACTCGTTAGGAAGATTAAAAAAAACAAAGTAGGTTTGGTTAGATATACGAGTGATAAAGGTTAGACGTAAACAGGGCTGCCTAGTATGGACCAATAGACGTCACTGTAAATTCCCCCATTCTTATGTTTTATTTTTCCTCGAGGTGTGTTGATGTTATGTACCCTGGAGTGACCGAGACCACTTGACCGTATGTAAGAATTATATCCCAGTGGAGTTTGTGCTACAGGAGTCTTACAGGTGTTTCAGGGTGAGGCAGCGAAGGTTAGTTTAAAACACCATCAGCTTGTCTCTTAATAGCTTAAAATACTCCCTTCACGTCTTCTGGATGGAGTAGTTTGTCCCAGAATACGAACATCAGTAACACAAGGCAGGTGCATGAGTCAGGTCAGGTGTTTACATACTTACCATACACACTGTTCATGATATAACTTTCCTTACACTGGTCAGCTATCTGGTACTTAAAAGACATTTACATACGACATAATGACAGATTACACCACATGTGTTGCAGGTAATGACTTCTGGATCAGTTAGCTTAACGAAAAAAACCCGATAATTATTTGGGGTCGGTGAAGTGTGGAGGTTGTAGCGAGTGTATGAGTATATGGCTGGATGGTGCATTTATGTTAAGGTGGAGGTCTACTGCTATATTGTTACATGTCTTCTATACCACCACATGTGATATAATTTCTGGTAGGTGTTATATCTAGTTGACTATATTCCATTAGAAAACAGTGCCATGCGTGTAGAGAATCTGCCGGGGTTATGGGTCGTGATAAAGTAATGATATTATTATCTTGGCGTAGATGTGACGTCACAAGGCATGCCAAGGCCGCGCCTACCATTTCCCCGCCAATATAAAGCCGAGCGCGGAGGCCTGAGCCACAGTGCACCTGAGACCTTCACTCAACTCTCAATATGAAGGTACCTGACCTTTGCAATACTATGTTACTGAGACCAATGGCACACACTCCGTATTCAACTTTAAGTTATATAATTATGAAAAAGTTCCTCTGCCTGAGATACGACACAGCCAAGAATGAACTTCCCTAACCTTAGATGTGTGTTTTGGATACAACAGTCCCACTTATAAGAATATCCCGTTCATATTACGAACTAAAAGGAGACGCCTGACCCCAGTTGTAGAGTAGATAACAATATTGAAATGAGTCCCTTACCAATGGCTGACTTATTGACTGTGCATCCACAATTAACCTGGCAGTGTTGTTCCTCCTACAGACAGTAGCTCTGGTGCTCTCGGTGGCGGTGGTGGCGTGGGCGGCTCCTCAGGACAGCTACAACTACCAGGCGCCGGCCGTGCAACAGCCTCAGTACCCCGACGCTCCCGCCCTGTACAACTTCCAGTGGGACATCAACGACGATTACTCAGGCAACTTTTACGGTCACCAGGAGCAGAGAGACGGAGACAACACCCAGGGCAGGTGAGGGAAATATTCAATAAAATATTAAAATAGATGTTTTTGGTAGAAACAACTACACGATGCTTGTCTTCTTGTGTCGACCTCTTGTCACCTTGTAACCTCCAGAAGGTATTCCAACTACGGACTTACAATTTATAATAAACCTCAAATACCACGTGACTTCTGCTGAGATAACATTACAAGACCTAGTTCTAAAGTATCGTTGATTAATTATGAGTTAGACTCATGTCATAGTTAATAATACTGAGGACGATGCGTCTTTTTTTAATTTTACTCCAAGTACACATGTTGGTTCACCTCACACTAATCCCCTACAAGGTTATATCCTACCTACAAGAAGCCTCACCACAACTCCAAATATGAGTAGACCAGACAGTCATACTAGTTCTTTGAGTTTGTCGTAAGGTCTTTCATCTCTTGTTAACTTTGTATATCACTGTACATCATTAACTCCTCTTACCCACAGTTACTACGTGAGGCTGCCTGACACTCGCCTCATGAAGGTTCAGTACTATGTCGATGACAACGGCTTCCACCCTATTGTTACCTTCGAGGGTGAGGCCCAGTACCCCAGCGCCCCTTCTAGGGTCTACTCACAGCCCGCACCAGCCCCCCAACAGACGTACCAGCAACCAGCCCCCCAGCAGACGTACCAGCAACCAGCCCCCCAGCAGACGTACCAGCAGCCCGGACCAACTCCCTCACAATTCTACTCTCAGCCAGGAAAATAACTTTCGTAAATGGCACTTCAGGTTCAATACTGTTGTCTCGTTGTCTCGTGTTATGTGTTGTGTGTCAACTACGTCTAATGTTTAGTGACAAATAAGAATGGTGCGTCGGGAATAATTTCTGGCACCATTATATTTGTAGATCTATATTCTGTATACATACGAGTACTTTTATATAAATATATTTTTATACGAAGATTTTGAAAGTTTTAATAAAATAATGCAAAATATTTATTGTATAAGTGACCTCAACCAGTTATTGCAGTTCCCAAACAGACAAATGATTCAACTGAACTGTTCATAAACAAACTCTTTGGAAAACTTACCTTTCCTTAATGCGACTGCCAACAAACTTTCCCGCCATCATCAGCTGCTTCTCACAACGGAGGTATAAAGTTTGTATCATGAACGTTGTTGACCCGATACTGAGGTTCAAGGTTGTTCAAGTAGGTGTCATTGGGCTGGATTGGGTGGGGGGGAGGGGGCGCCGGTGGGTACAACGGTACAGCTCTTGCCTCGCAAGCGAGATGTCACGGGTTCAATTCCCGGGCCTGTGGAAAGTTGTTCGGACACCCTTCCCAGCCTCCCTTGGTCCCTGTTCACCTAGCAGCAAAGTAGGTACCTGCTGTAAATCGAAAAGATGCGAATTCGTATTCAGGGACAAGTTGTTGGAGCTTCCAATAACTTGATGACATAAACCACTGACTCTTCAGGCTTCTACGCCCTTAACTCATGAGACATAAAGGCAAGCATGAACTTAGCATGCTTCCCTGTTGGGCGCTGTAAACGCTTCTGCGCTTCACCTTACACAAGGATGTAGGGGAGTGCCCAATAAAAAAAGAATGGGCTGGATGGTTTGTTAACCTTTCTTGCCAGAAGACAGTTCTGTTTTGAATCAAAAGATGGCGCACCGTGCATGAGGGGGGGGTGGGGGTGAGTAGAGGGGGCGAGAGGAGGCTTGTGGGGTTGAGAATAATGGAACGAAATTATCAGATCTTAATTACGTTAATATTGTGATATCGTTGGTTATCACACTAATAAGGATAATGAATATATTAAAAGGTAATCAAATATGTATGACACAACAAATACTATGGAATTGTAGCGGCAACAGTAGTAGAGTTAAAGGTGTAAGGATTAGAAGAAATTTCAATAATAAATCACCATGTGTTAGGTCTTACAGCAGAGTTACCATTATAATGTAGCATACGAGTATTGGTGATATTTTACACTGACTAAACCTGTTATATTGAACAATGGAAGTGCTGGCCCTCTAGTAATGTTAAGTGTTTATCCGTCACACCTGTGTACATCCACACGTGGATGATCCCCAACATTTGTCTACACCCACACGTGGATGATCCCTCACAGCTGTGTACACCCACACGTGGATGATCCCTCACAGCTGTGTACACCCACACGTACTCTCTTATGGAAGTACAGCAAAATCATCGAACGTCACATTTATGATGTGTTCCAAGAGTTTGTGTTACTGCTCACTTTACGTGGCACATCAAGAGTCTGAGGTGTTCACGCTTGTGAGACTGACCCAGTTACTGTACACTAGCCGACACGTGGACCCCAAACATGAGAGACAACTATTAAGGTAATTATCTCATTAGCTGTTGCTCAACTTCGTCCGTTTGCATCATACGGATGTGGTATGACGAGCGTTCACTGGTTTAGAGTTAACCTAAAAGGCAAAACAGAGGATTGTTCAACTCAGAAGTAAACTTTGATCGAATATGACACTATATCTTAGGGCCTCTCTTCACTTTATATATGAATGACCTGCAGATGTCGTGACACCCTTCATTGATATAATACGCGGATGACTCAATATTGCTTGCCATATGGGAAAGGTCAACCACTAAAGTGTAATCTAGAGACTTGGACCCCCCTGTACCTTGGTAATAGAGTCTTCAAATGTGAATAAAATACTAAATTCCTTGGGGTTATTGCTGATGATAAACTAAACAGGAAAAAACACTTACAAGCCATTTACAGTAAAGTCAATAAACAGTGCGGTATCCTGTATCACACTAGAGTCTAGACAGTCACTCACTCTTGCAGCAATGAAAGAAATCTACAGTATTATGATCTTGTTTACCAACACTTGATACACTATCACACACCATGGGGGGCCTCTCTGGCTCCACAAAAAACACAACCCCTACACCGCCCAGGAGAGAGTTGTGTGGACAATGACCTCCTTGTAAAAACGTGACCACACTTGCGAACAGTTTGCTTACTTGAAAATGTTAAAATTCAAGGATATTAACACTTACTTCTGTGCCCTATTTGTTTATAAATCTGTCAATCACTTGAATGACATTTATTTGCAGTTCCGTAATAATCAAAGATGCAACTTAAGACTCCCAAAGCTACTAAGACCACCCCCATGCGCTCCTCTCAGTCCCAGACCTCCAGAAAATATCATGGTGTGGTGTGGAGCAACTTACCCCACCCATCCGAGCAAAGACTACGCTCCCTTCCTTTAAATCATCACTTAAAAAAAAAACTATTATCTAAGTATTAGTATTTTTGTAGCACTTACTTTATATTCCTAGTTTTATTGTACCACCAAAACCATTATATCATATATTGTCACGTAGATAGATAGAAATTACCATTGCAATAATTATATATTTGCCGACAAGACATGATACTGACAGCTCTGTCCTCTTGTTTCACCTTAATACAACCCATATCAAGCTGTGTAACCATTTCTTTTAAGTTATTACGACAAATCTTAAAAGTGAAAGTAGGTCCCAAGGGTATGACTGCCTGTTATGGACAGTGTGGATACATCACACTGAATACGAAACCTTTAGTACACCAGGAGACAGCTTGGTCGGCACTGCAGTCGACCGCCTTCACTTCCCCAGCTTGTAAAGTTACAGTAGGCACAGTTCCCACACCTATGGATCTTGTGTGGGTAAAATTATCTGGTAACTCTTCCTGTAGAGAACTGTCTGAATTCCAAAATGACCCAATTGTCTTAGTGTCATTTTTACGTATATACTGTAAGTTATGAATACATTCGTTGTGCACAGGTCAGGTCTTAAGAACACAACAGATCTGTCTTATGGTTTGATTGAATAGATCCGTGCGGCACTGGATGGTAAATAAAAGCAATAGGCAGAATTTAGTAAGGCTGAAACAGTTTTATTTAATAATGGTTCCATACAGTAATGTAAGTAAACGACTCAGTGTTTCGTAACGTCTCAAAATATCATCTGCTTCGAGTTCCTAAACAAACATCAGTTTGTACTAGTGTAAATACACAATGAGGATTATTATGAATGTTGTTTACTGTGTCACAGAGACCAAGTTTGGCAGCTTCTAGAGCTACGAAACACTGCCAGGCCTTTTAGGGGCAAGAGTGAGGTGTTGGCGTATTGGGAAACCACCTGTGGTGGGGGTCGCACTCATGCAGATTCTGTGAACAAGCATACCCCTGGTGAGGTGAAGCGATGGACGCACTCGTGGACCAGTCAGGCTACGTGTGTATATAGTTTGTTTATGATTTTTAATAATGTTTCATGTTATAATTATTTTTATGGTCATGAAGGATAATAAGGCTCCTAAAGCAGAACACAATTCTGCCAATAAATTGCACCAAGTACACAGTGTTTGTATGGGATAATTCTGTCTCAGTAAGAGGGGCGAGTGATGGGGGAGAGAAGTCTGGTTGGAAAGCAGAAGGGAAAGAGGTACGGTGGATAAGGAAACTGAAGTAGGGTGGGAGGAACGGTGGTGAAGGGGCGGGAAAACTATGGATGGTGAAATATAGACGGCAGATAAAGGCGCTACCACATATTATGACAGCAAACAGACACGCGTCTTTCAGTCGTGCCCAGTACAGAGCCATAGGTCCAGTGCAGTCGACATTCTTCAACCACCAAAACAACACAGGTGGCGGACCTCTACTTGAATACTGTTTTTCACGGTCAGCAAACACGTTATAAATTAGGTGATGTGTTCTCAGAGTTAGTTTCTTATTGGGCAATACTTAAAGAGGGGGTTATAAATCAATGTCAACTTCCACAACAATTAAAACTGTCATTGTTAGGTAGCAAACATGTTAAGAGGATTATAATAACATTAATATATATTGGCAACTAGGATGAGAAAATAAGATCTAGTGGCGCGGATGTTGAAAATATAATTGTTTGGTAAGCTAAAACGCTGATATGACTCCCTATTGTGATCTGTTGTTTTGAGGGAATGAAAGATGAACGGAGATGTAGCACGGGATGACCTGCATGATCACGCGTGCCCGTAAAAAATGACCCAGGGTGGAGATGGTGAAGTGGTCACGAAGTTATTCGCCTTGACATTACAGTGACGTCATGAAGCACGCCCCGTCCCAGCCTATATAAAGCCAGGCACTGCTGTGTGGGCAATAGTGTGTCTCACGTCTCCAACTAAGACAATCATGAAGGTACACCGACTCCTAGGACGCATCATCCACTTATTGTTACTTTAATGCAAAGGAGTAATTGATTATTTCATTCTCTCACTGCAGCTGTAACTATATCATTGTCTTATACGAGGCGACCATCTAGTCATATCAGGTTAAACCAGATCAACTTAATGTTACAATGGAGCTAATCTTCAGAAATGTTTAGCACAGATTATTATGGTCATGTTAAGAGGTGAAGCATGTCGAGGCAAAGGCGGGATACAATAATGGTGCTATGTTTACTGTCTGACCATATCCACCATGCTTAGCGATGGGTTCTTGATGCTAAGGCTTTATTTGGGTCTTGAAATTGAGGTTTAACGTCTAACATGCGCGAAAATTGTTTTACTAGACCAGGCAGGTTATGTACGCCTCACGTGGAATAATCTTTGGTAAATGTTTCACCAAATTATGTCCCGTGGTAGCTATTGACACTTCATTCATTGGCCATCTTTAAGACGATAGTTATCATAATCACAATTGTAATGAGTGAATTCCTCTATCAGACAGCGGCTCTGATTCTCTCTCTGGCGGTGGCGGCGTGGGCGGTCCCTCAGGGCGACTACAACTACCAGGCGCCGGCTTCACAGGGACCCCAGTACGCCTCAGCACCCGCCCAGTACAACTTCCAGTGGGACGTCAACGACGCACCTTCAGGCAACTTTTACGGTCACCAGGAGCAGAGGGACGGAGCCAACACCCAGGGCAGGTGAGTTGACCAAAGAAATATTTGAACACACTTGAAATCATCTAAAAAAACATCTGTATTAAGGATGAGGCTCGCGCACTATAATAAACATGTCAAAATCTGTAAGAGAGAATGATTCGTATCTCACCAAGTTCTTTAGGTTAAGAAAGTGATCCTGATTGATGTTCAGGAGAGTAGATTATTATCATCATCATTATGAAAAAAATGCATTACAATTTTCATACAATCCTTTACAACTATCCCTTTCTTAACCTTTTATTTTTCTTAACAAATAAAAAAAAATGTTTATAACAATTAAACCACAAAGAAAGGTTGGAAACTTTGGAGGTTATACTCGATTTCATATTGTTCTTGAGCATCAATTTCCTCCGTCACATCGGTTGGCCTTCACCGACCCTAAAGCTCCCCTCTAGCTGGTCTTCCCATTCACAGTTACTACGTGCAGCTGCCCGACTCTCGCCTCATGCGTGTTGAGTACTACGTTGACGAGACTGGCTACCACCCAACTGTGACCTTCGAGGGAGAGGCTCAGTTTCCCAGCGGCCCCTCCAGGGGCTACTCCCAACCCGCTCCAGCTCCTAGCCAGACGTACTCCCGGCCAGCTCCTGCCCCCCAGCAGACGTACCAACAGCCAGCCCCAGCTCCCTCACAGTTCTACTCTACACCTGGGAAATAAGAATCATGGACGGAGCCTCAGTACAGCACATCTTCCACGACCAGCGTCGCTGACGGCCTAAAGTTGTTTGTGGCTTTCATTATGTCGATTGTATTATTATTTATTTCTTCTTTTTTTCTCCCACTGAATAACTTCTGTCGTTATTATTATAAAGGATCTTTAAGAGTTCATGTGGATCAAGTGACGTATCTCCTTCACAACGTTTCCTTTGAACCTGCCTTATGCTTACCAAGACCCCGAACAGGAATGTCTTTTCTGTCATCTAATATTTTCTCCTAAATTTATTGTGTACATGTACTTATGTATATATATGGATTCACCGAATAAAAAGTAACATGAATTACTCATTTTTGTTAATGGATAATCCTCAGTGAGTAAACTAAATGGGTGTAGAGGTACTCAAAGGAATACTTTAATTAATTAGTTTTGATTATAAATGTTCAGTGAGTTTACAACGATGCAATTGGTTACTGGCAATAGGGAAGAACCTGCAGCTGTGGTGAAAATGTATGTTTAGTTCTTAGTTGCCTTAACCGAGTCACTCATTGAGAGATGTTCAATTCCAGCCTGTGCAACTTTTGGTACAATCATTTCTTTGTTCTGTTTACATCTTTATATCATCATCATGAACAGTAATAATGTGTCAGTAATGCTCCGACTTATTTATATCATTAATAAAGTCTCTAGGACAATAAGCATTCAAAGACCAGTACATAAAATTATCGACCATCTTAGACTTCATTCTTGTAAGAGGTCAAGCATCAGAGGTCGGCCCTAAATATTGTTGTGGTAGATAGATTCTTGGTCACACTTGTTGGCTCCGACACCGAGTTGCTGGTAGTTATATGTACTGTACACAATGTGCTAATAGTCATGGACGTTCATAAAACAAACTAAAAATATATTATTATACAGTAAGTACAAGACACCATATGTGTAAATAAACGAAAAAGGTTCTAGAGTTAGTGGATAATCATGGTGATCACGTCACCACAGTGGAAACTGACAACCTAAAGATTTTATGAGTTTTAATAAACTAATTTAATAACAGTATATGTTACGATCTTTGGTTTTGTTCGGGAAATAATTAAGAAGATTTTAATATTACTGCACATAATATTCATTATTTGGGTAGACTCATTTTTTTTTTACGGGGAATAGCTCACCCGGGCCAAGGCGTTGTAAATAATCTCCTCTGATCTTGTTGTTCACAGTAACTTTCTTATAAAACTCGTGAGTAAATTATTAAAGTTTAGTGTATGAGCCAGTTTTGAGAAAAAAATATTCCACACGTTAATGCGTAATAATAGTTTTTATCAGATTGAGGGTTTAAATAAATGAATAACCCAATTAACCGTGCAAATTATTGAAAGGAAATTGAAAGTTCACTTGAATTCTTTTTAGGCGTTATCGTTATTACTTACTAAATTTTATAATAATTTTTAATAAGCTATAATAGTCTCCCACACTATTTTCTGCTTGATTTCTTGTACCTTTTCCTCTGGATAATTAAGTCACATAAACAGCGAAGACTGTGTTTACTGTTTACGTATCCAGTACACAGGAGAAGCTCAGTAGTCCGCTTGGTTATAATAATGTTCAAACGTGATTCTTTGTGAACAGCGCCTGTGTTGGGATCACCTGAAGATCAGCCCCGTCAGCTTACTTCACCTGATGATTAAAAACTCTAACTCTACCTGCGGGGGTTAGGTTAGGTTGTATCAGATTAGATTAGATTAGGGTGGGGTGGGTTAGGTTAAGTTGGGTTGGGTTAGGTTAGGTTAATCTACAAGTGGTCCAGTTTTTATTTTATACATCTTTTTAGCATCTATCTGGAGTGTGTCAGGTGTGGTGTTGATGTTCAGTGTGTCATTTATTGTACTTTTTGTTGTCTTAGAGCTGACGTGCTGGTGTTGACATGTGTCCGTTATGTTGATGATGTTAGTAGATGTTTAAGTGGTCATGTGGGGTCTGTATCTCGAGGCTAGGACGACACATGTAGCGTGAGTCGTGGAGGTCCTTGTGTGTGTCTCACCATAATGACTTCTGAGTCGGTAATGTCTTATTGTTTCATGTATTCAGATTCTGCGGACAAAGGAAAGAATTCTTACCTCGCGGATTCAACAGCAGCCTTGACGTTATCTTACGCGTGACGCAATAGTAACGAACGTGACGTCATGAGTCAGCTGAGGTCACACCCACAGTCCCTGGTCAATATATAGGTGAACGCGAGTGTGTGGGGCCAGCAGTTCAGCTCAGACATCCTCCCAACGCACAACCATGAAGGTACTGGGGCTTTGTTGACTTCACCTGGCAAAATAATATTTCAGGTTATTGACATACACTACTTAAATCTTTTGTTGATCCTCAGAAGATAACTGTTGTCGTTTTACTTGGATTTCGACGCATAACAAACAGTGATCCTAAACATATCCACAAACACTAAAGCCTTTTATTATTTTTTCACTGTGAGTTTAGAAAAGAACATAACTTGTGAGCCGTTTATGAAGTGTCTGACTATCTTGGCACTACCTCTGTGACCTAAGAGAACATAAGTTTTCTTCCTTTTCATGAAAATTTTCGCTGAATCTTCAGAATAAGAACATTTTTGCGTTAGAAAGACGGCACTAGTTATAATGAGCGCCACCGTCTTGTGATTACTGACCTTGTGAGAATTGTTCACCCAATAACATTCATTAACATAACAAACTCTAAGATAAATGTTATGGTTCTTCAGACAGTGGCTCTGATTCTCTCTCTGGCGGTGGCGGCGTGGGCGGTCCCTCAGGGCGGCTACAACTACCAGGCGCCGGCCTCACAGGGACCCCAGTACGCCTCAGCACCCGCCCAGTACAACTTCCAGTGGGACGTCAACGACGCACCTTCAGGCAACTTTTACGGTCACCAGGAGCAGAGGGACGGAGCCAACACCCAGGGCAGGTGAGTCTGTTAACGTTTATAAGGACAAATTATATCTGGCCATGTTTTTGTGGTAGTTGGCAGCCATTTATCACAAAATAGTCGATAGCTAACAGAGTAAAAAAAAAGAGGGGGGAGGATAAAACTGCTCGTGTATCAGGTGAGATCGACTGTAGATGAAACACTATGACACTATTAATGAACTTTTAGACATCCTCGTAAGTGTAACCAACATACTGCACTAAACTAATCCCAAAATCTTTAAATGATCGATTAATTTAGTTACACTCAGGACTTTATCCACAAGGAAAAAAAATATTAAATATTTGTATTTCCTTCAATACTCTATATTAGAAAAATCGGAAAATGTGTTTTAACCTTTAATTTCAGCTCCTTTACATTGTACAGTAACTCCTTTAGCACCAAGCTATTGCCAAACACCTGTTGGCTCTCCCTGAACCTAAAACTCCCCACTAGCAGACTTTCCATTCACAGTTACTACGTGCAGCTGCCCGACTCTCGCCTCATGCGTGTTGAGTACTACGTTGACGAGACTGGCTACCACCCCACTGTGACCTTCGAGGGAGAGGCTCAGTTTCCCAGCGCCCCCTCCAGGGGCTACTCCCAACCCGCTCCAGCTCCTAGCCAGACGTACTCCCGGCCAGCTCCTGCCCCCCAGCAGACGTACCAACAGCCAGCCCCAGCTCCCTCACAGTTCTACTCTACACCTGGGAAATAAGAATCATGGACGGAGCCTCAGATCATGGTTTTAGCTGTACAGCACATCGTCCACGACCCGCATCTGTGATGGCATAAAACTTATTGTGGTTTTCATCATAGCGATTATGTTATTATTTATAAATTTTTCGCCCTCCACTTAATAGTTCCGTCCTTGTTATCATAAATGATCTTTAAGCCCTTCACTATTAAACACCAATTCTAATATTCCATTTAGCACAGAGACCTCTCGTGTGGGTCATGTACAGTACAGTAAAGTACAGTACAATACGGTACGGTACAGTACAGTACAGTACAGTATATTCTTCACAATATTCCCTGATCTGTCTTATTCCTTCACACACGAATATCGATGACAAGATTACTCCTGTTGTGAGTGCCATTTACTGTTTCCTAATCCACCGCCTAGTTTATAGGTATGCTTACCAACATATGTTTACTTAGCTATATTTTTGTATGAAAAATATAATGATGCATTCAATAAAATATCTCATGAATAAGTTATTTATCTGAAGCGGTAACCCTGGTGGACAATGACAAATATCGGCAGTGCAAAAGCAATCAAGAGGAGACTTTACTCTAACGGCAGTGCATTATAATAAATATTAATTATTTTACCAAGCCTGGAATATTTAATGATGACAATATATGTTGCAAGGATGAGTGAAGCTGCCGCTCTTGTGAAGATACCAAGTGTTTTTATAGCTGGATTTAGCTGTATAAATATTTAAGTAACTCACTGTGAGATGTTTACTTTCCATTAATACTACCAGGTAGAGTCCACTATAATACTAGCAGGTAGAGTCCACTATAACACTACCGGGAGTATAGTCTACAACATTGAGGAAAGGCAAAGTTGACAAGTTAAAATACAGAGTGAATAATCTAGGGGTTGAAATACGTGGATGCAGCAAGTGAGGAACACACACAAGAATCACTGTTTGTGACAGACAAATTTAAGTTATGAAAGAGATAAAAAGATTATTAAGTAAACCGAGTCATTCACTAACATTACACAACACAAGTAAAACACAAATATGCAATTATTGAAACACACCAGAATATTACCTGATTATTCTTACTTTATATATTAAATACACATTCTATTTATAAAACACAAAAACCTGATAGAAATGGTAGCTCAGGTAGTATGTCTAGGATGCGATGGCCAACCACAAGGAACCAGGGATTACCCCCGCAGTCCACTACCATCAAACCATCACAACACCACCAGCAGTAGTCCGTAATACAATCCTTCGTCCACACCCCGGGAGAAGAGAAACACCGTAGGTCGCAGAGAAGAGACTAAGGTTACCAGGCAGATACGCTTGCCTTGATACCTCTCTGTCCACAGCTGAGCCGGTCTCATAGTCGGATGGGAAACTGGCTCTGATCGGTGCTCACTGGGGTCGAGTAGATTCGTGAAGCAGTTCCTTCTCCTGGTGTCAAGTTGGAGCAAAGAACCATTACACACTTGTTAAAAAGAGTTGTTAGACCCAAGGTTCTCAGCCATCTTGAGTACTCGAGAAGATTTAATGTAGGAATAATCAGAGTTGTTCTGCATTGCACTTTTTTTTAAGTCCAGATGGAGAGGCATGAGAGCTTTATGAAGTTAAAGGAGGACTTTCTTATCCTCACATTCAACAGTGTGCTTTATGATTCCTACAGTTTGGTTGGCTTTCTTTACTGTTGTTCCTACCTGTTGAGCAGCTTTCATTGCTTGGTCCATCTTGACGATTAGGTCGGTTTCCTTATCAACAGGTTTAAAAAAAGTGTTACTCACAGAAATGAATCCTAAGATAATAATTATGATAGGCAACAGGGAACTAAAAAAGCGGAAATTTTTGTGTATTTGGGAAGTAACTTTAATTGTGATGGTAGATGTGCAAACGAAAAAAAAAATAATAAGTCAAACAAAAACAGCATTTGGTAATCTAAAAAAAAAAATAATAAAAGGGAAATTAACTTCAAATTTTGTAAAAGAAAGGCAATATATGGTCAGGATTGTATTATGGGCTAGCAGCGAGGATATTCAGCAGACACCAGAAAGAGGTTAGAGGCCTTTGATATGTGATGTTATAGTCGAATGTTAAAACTAATTTGCACACAGGAAAATATATAAAGATGTACTAAGATTGGCAAAAGCTTGAAGAGAAATACTTGAAATTTTGACAATATGGAAAATACGTTAAATTGGTCATATAATTTGGGATAAAGGGATAATAACTAATATAAATGAATAAACTTGAGGAAAGGAGGGCCATGGAAAGGCAGCGACTGAGGTGGATGAACGAAGCTAAAACCTGGGACCCTAGAGAGATACAAAATCTTGGGGGATTTGGTAAAACAGCCCGCGAACAGTGGACTGGAAGACTGTGGTCGCCAACCCTAAGATATGTGGACAGTACTCTGATTCATTAACGTTACGTTGGTTTAGATTAGATTAGGTTGGGTTAGGCAAGGATAGGTTAGGTTAGGTTAGGTTAGATTAGGTTGGGTTAGGCAAGGATAGGTTAGGTTAGGTTAGATTAGGTTGGGTTAGGCAAGGATAGGTTAGGTTAGGTTAGGTTAGGTTGGGTTAGGCAAGGATAGGTTAGGTTAGGTTAGGTTAGGTTGGGTTAGGCAAGGATAGGTTAGGTTAGGTTAATTGTCTATTGGTTGAGTTGTATTTCTTTTATACATCTTCTTATCTCCAGCTGGTGTGTGTCAGGTGTGGTGTTGATGTTCAGTGTATCTATTTATTGTACTTTTTGTTGTCTTATTGCTGGTGTTGACATGTGTCCTTTATGTTGATGATGTTAGTAGATGTTTAAGTGGTCATGTGGGGTCTGTATCTCGAGGCTAGGACGACACATGTAGCGTGAGTCGTGGAGGTCCTTGTGTGTGCCTCACCATAATGACTTCTGAGTCGGTAATGTCTTATTGTTTCATGTATTCAGATTCTGCGGACAAAGGAAAGAATTCTTACCTCGCGGATTCAACAGCAGCCTTGACGTTATCTTAAGCGTGACGCAATAGTAACGAACGTGACGTCATGAGTCAGCTGAGGTCACACCCACAGTCCCTGGTCAATATATAGGTGAACGCGAGTGTGTGGGGCCAGCAGTTCAGCTCAGACATCCACTCAACGCACAACCATGAAGGTACTGGGGCTTTGTTGACTTCACCTGGCAAAATAATATTTCAGGTTATTGACATACAATACTTAAATCTTTTGTTGATCCTCAGAAGATAACTGTTGTCGTTTTACTTGGATTTCGACGCATAACAAACAGTGATCCTAAACATATCCACAAACACTAAAGCCTTTTATTATTTTTTTCACTGTGAGTTTAGAAAAGAACATAACTTATGAGCCGTTTATGAAGTGTCTAACTATCTTGGCACTACCTCTGTGACCTAAGAGAATATAAGTTTTCTCCCTTTTTATGAGATTTTTCGCTGAATCTTCAGAATAAGAACATTTTTGCGTTAGAAAGACGGCACTAGTTATAATGAGCGCCACCGTCTTGTGTTTACTGACCTTGTGAGAATTGTTCACCCAATAACATTCATCAACATAACAAACTCTAAGATAAATGTTATGGTTCTTCAGACAGCGGCTCTGATTCTCTCTCTGGCGGTGGCGGCGTGGGCGGTCCCTCAGGGCGGCTACAACTACCAGGCGCCGGCCTCACAGGGACCCCAGTACGCCTCAGCACCTGCCCAGTACAACTTCCAGTGGGACGTCAACGACGCACCTTCAGGCAACTTTTACGGTCACCAGGAGCAGAGGGACGGAGCCAACACCCAGGGCAGGTGAGTCTGTTAACGTTTATAAGGACAAATTATATCTGGCCATGTTTTTGTGGTAGTTGGCAGCCATTTATCACAAAATAGTCGATAGCTAACAGAGTAAAAAAAAAGAGGGGGGAGGATAAAACTGCTCGTGTATCAGGTGAGATCGACTGTAGATGAAACACTATGACACTATTAATGAACTTTTAGACATCCTCGTAAGTGTAACCAACATACTGCACTAAACTAATCCCAAAATCTTTAAATGATCGATTAATTTAGTTACACTCAGGACTTTATCCACAAGGAAAAAAAATATTAAATATTTGTATTTCCTTCAATACTCTATATTAGAAAAATCGGAAAATGTGTTTTAACCTTTAATTTCAGCTCCTTTACATTGTACAGTAACTCCTTTAGCACCAAGCTATTGCCAAACACCTGTTGGCTCTCCCTGAACCTAAAACTCCCCACTAGCAGACTTTCCATTCACAGTTACTACGTGCAGCTGCCCGACTCACGCCTCATGCGTGTTGAGTACTACGTTGACGAGACTGGCTACCACCCCACTGTGACCTTCGAGGGAGAGGCTCAGTTTCCCAGCGCCCCCTCCAGGGGCTACTCCCAACCCGCTCCAGCTCCGAGCCAGACTTACTCCCGGCCAGCTCCTGCCCCCCAGCAGACGTACCAACAGCCAGCCCCAGCTCCCTCACAGTTCTACTCTACACCTGGGAAATAAGAATCATGGACGGAGCCTCAGATCATGGTTTTAGCTGTACAGTACATCGTCCACGACCCTCGTCTCTAATGGCCTAAAACTTATTGTGGTTTTCTTAATAGCGATTATATTATTATTTATAAACTTTTCGCCCTCCACTTAATAGTTCCGTCCTTGTTATCATACATAATCTTCAAACCCTTCACTATTAAACACCAATTTTAATATTTTATTTTACTAAAGACTGACAATTTTATTTAGCACTGAGACCCCTCGTACCCAATGGGTGAACATCTCGTGTGGGTCATGTGATGTACAGTACAGTACGGTACAGTACAGTACGGTACAGTACAGTACAATACGGTACGGTACAGTACAGTACAGTACAGTATATTCTTCACAATATTCCCTGATCTGTCTTATTCCTTCACACACGAATATCGATGACAAGATTACTCCTGTTGTGAGTGCCATTTACTGTTTCCTAATCCACCGCCTAGTTTATAGGTATGCTTACCAATATATGTTTACTTAGCTATATTTTTGTATGAAAAATATATTGATGCATTCAATAAAATATCTCATGAATAAGTTATTTATCTGAAGCGGTAACCCTGGTGGACAATGACAAATATCGGAGTGTAAAAGCAATCAAGAGGAGACTTTACTGTCAAGTATAAGTTGTGATATTATTATGAGTATCCATTTTAATATTTCGGGAGTTTATATCAGGATGATTTAAAGATGTAAATGAAACTTGGTAATACGAGTGGAGTTGCAGCTGTGTTACCTGATGATATTAAGTAGCTTTTAACTGGGTTATTGCCCTCATGAACATATTCCCAGTTTTGTTTACATAATCATGTTATCCTCAGAGATACTAACAAATCTACTAATATTATCGTCGTTTACTCACATCACCGTTCAAGTTCTAGGTAGACCAGTAAACGCCTCACAATCCTGACCAGCCATGGCGCGAATCTTAGCTAATGATCGATTGCCGATTACCCTGACTCTTTGATATTTATTATTTAGTGCTTCAAAATTATGGCTGCTGTATGATAAGAATGATGATTTGGTGGTCATCTTCATTACATAAAATCTCAGGAAAAGGCGTCGGTCACTGATGCAGACCTGTGAAAGTTAAGAACATTCTCTTTGTGATGATAGTGCGTTTGGTGATAATCGCGTGCTTGACTTCACGTTGAACCAAACGCACGGGGTCGAAGTATATTCAATTACTCATGTACTGTACAGGGTCGGTCGGTATGGTCTACTAAATATGGAAAAGACAAAATTAACAACAGTATAACATGGTGTACAGTGGATGCACTACACTGAGCTGTTGAACTGTTTGTGTTGTACATCAGTGTCCTCAGTACACTCGTGATTCTATTGCAACTTACCCAGTACTACTTGGGTTAATTCGTTCAGAGATTTAGTAATTCTTGACGCTATTATTAATTCTACTTATTTTGTCTTAAGACAGTATAATCACTGCTAATTCTTGTCCGTGAGATATTGTGATATTCTCAGCGAAGGTTCACTAAACAGTTTTTGGTTGAAGCGCTCTTCTACCATCATGGCCAGAAGTCTGTGCCAGACATAGGTGTTGTGTTGATTATGATGGCATATTTTAGCTACTTTTAGCATCTATACGGAAGCCACGTGTGTCTAACGAAATTACTAACACACTGGTTGCAAGCTTCTCCAGCAGGGCCAACGTGGTAGTGTGTCCCTCCCTGGCAGGGTATGAACTGACGATTCCTAATACTTTTCTGGTAATTCTTAGTTTCCTTCGTTATCTCCTACACCGAGTTATCCGCTGAGTTATAGGTAAACATAATACTTATATAATTATACAAATCTAAATATATATATATTCTTATATTCAACATGTATACAGTAAATTGAGAAAAAACGTCAGGAAAACAGCAGAAAGTTAAACGAAATCACACCACGACGGCAGAAACTGGTGAAGGAGTACAGTACTGTATCAGTTATGATTATTGTTATTCTAAGATTTGGTGGGGTTTAATGAGAAGCAGCTTGACCATATAAAATTGATTTTTTTTCTCTGCTCCTAATGGAATCAATTAATTCATATCTTATTTGTGCTCTTATTTGTGATATCAACTACTAGTCCTAATAATCTTTATATAATGAAAACATTAATAACAATAAAGCTAGTGTAAGTGTATATGTCATGGTTGATCATCATTTGTATTATTGTAAAGGAAAAGCTGTTACATTCTTATTACTATTGTTAATTTGTATTGTGTCTCGGTCATATACTGTACTCATCTTCAGAATGTTTAAGGATGACTTGCTCATGTCATGAATAAAAATGATAACCCTTGTATTACAGATTCCACAGTGATCATAAAGGCTTCCGTCATAACGTTTGAGTGACATCACGAATCAGTAAGGCCGCACCCTCCTTACCAGGCGACCGCAATATAAAGCTGAACGCGGGTGTGTGGCCAGCAGTTCAACTTAGACCTTCCACCTCTATACAGACATGAAGGTACTGGATCTCTCTTACACCACGTGACAGACGGATACAATTTATAGATATTAACAAACTTAAACAGGAGAATTAAGATTGAGGCTTGTCTTGAGAAATTAAAAGCTATTACTTAGAAACTGACCTGTGAACGCCAATCCTCCTCAACACACCACATAGTCAAGCAGTAAAGCCCAGTGCAGGATATTATTACGAAACTCAAGGGCGAAGTTTGCTTTTTATTTCATTAAGAACAATGATTTTGGGTTGTCTGCGATCCAAATAATGAAAATCATGTATAAATCTTCACCACGCCGAAATAATATATTTGGCACGAAAACAATACATACCCGTATTCCTTGAAACTTTTTTGACCCAAATAAAATGTACGGTCGTTTGATAACTCTCCTCAACTTAGTGTTCTTGATATGGCATTCACGTTTCTCAGACAGTGGCTCTGGTACTCTCTGTGGCGGTGGCGGCGTGGGCGGGTCCTCAGGGCGGCTACAACAACCAGGGACCGGTCGTGCAGGGACCGGTCGTGCAGGGACCGGTCGTGCAGGGACCCCGGTACGCCTCAGCACCCGCCCAGTACAACTTCCAGTGGGACGTCAACCATTCACCTTCAAGCAATTTCTACGGACACCAGGAGGGGAGGGACGGAGCCAACACTAAGGGCAGGTGAGTGTTTGTACTCACAGTGGAAAAGTATACATGGCAAATATTTTCATCATTAAAATACACATTCATCATTAAGTGCTGTGATAACAATAAATAAAACTCCTTTTGTATCAAACAAAATAGTGTCAGTACAGGACCGTGACGCTCTTGGAAAAAAAAGGACATTGTAAACACCATCACAGGAATGACGTTAGTTAGTCACATGTACTCTAAGCTCCCAATTAAGCAGGTGTTTCCGTCCACAGTTACTACGTGCAGCTGCCCGACTCTCGCCTCATGCGTGTTGAGTACTACGTTGACGAAACTGGCTACCACCCCACTGTGACCTTCGAGGGAGAGGCTCAGTTTCCCAGCGGCCCCTCCAGGGGCTACTCCCAACCTGCGTCTACTCCCCAGGAGACGTACCAACAGCCAGCCCCAGCTCCCTCACAGCTCTACTCTACACCGTAAAAATGAGACTAATGATCATAAGCTCTAATTATGGTTTTATATGTACAGTACATCCTCCATGACCCGTCGTCGACTGCTTGATTAATTATTCACAAACTTCTCTGTTTGACTCCCAGTGGATAGCAACTGAAGTTCTTGTCTTAAAGGACATCTAGTATCCAGTGTAGGTCCTGTGTGGTATTTCCTTCACAGTATTTTCCTGGTTTAATTCATGTTTCCACTTTACCATCTCCACATATAGATCCAACAGCTCTTGGCAACAATGTTTTGTTAGAGTTCTTGTATAAAGGTTGGTAACTCCGCCGCCTAGTCTCTGTAATAATGCTTGTTAAACGATGTACACGTAGCTATATTTTTATATGAATATTTATAGATACATATAATAAAATGTTACATGAATTACTTATTTCTTTCATACAATAATCTTCCCAACAAGTGTAAAACGAGTATAAAGACATTTACTAAAAAATATTTTTGGAAATTTAAATGTTGTGTTCATGTCGGATTGAGTGAACAATAAATAACAGTATTTGGAAGGTGATAGAGGTGCAGCTCTAATGAGGTGCCTTACAACTTTTGGCGGCTTTTAGAGACTTTAATGAACGCTTTTCCTTACTGTCTGAATCAATGAGAGACATTTGCTCCCTCAGCTTTAACCTATTATTCCCAGCTTTTTCTTAAAAGCTTAATCAATCGTCATAAAGATTAATTAATAATCTACTTTTAGGAACTTTCATTCTCATTTACAATCAGTTTTTATTACACTTGTTATGGCTAAATAAACTGTCGCTGGTGAAGTGAGTCTCTACCATCAAGGACTGAAGTCTGTGCCAGACTCTGAAAATGTCTGTCCTTATAGACTGTCCTACTAAATTCTAGAGCTTAGCAAGGAACCATGAGGACACTCCATGAGGTGAAACACGTCATTTTCTTTGCCTTCATCCTGTCTACAAGGTTGGCAAGATAAGGCTCCTAAGACTTGTTGAGGTGAACAATAACAACTTGAGGTCTCCCCTATGTTTAAACAATCTATTTGCGACATTCTCCTTGGAGAGCCAGAGCACCTGTGTGTAAAAGAGGAAGGATTCAACACGAGAGTTTAGAGTTCCTGATTTCAGGAAAATGACGCCTTTGACCACTGCCTCCAGGAACTTGTGAAGCGGAATAGAGAGAGAGGATTTTCGGCGCCAGCTCAGTAAATTCCTACGCCTTCTGAGCTACTTCCTTGACATGCATCTGAAATCCCGGTTTCGATTTCAGCATCGCCAGAGCTCCATTCATACAGACTCCGTAACAATTCTCCCAGGTGATCCCGCTGGCTGTAGAGGAAGAAATAATATTTTCCATCACGTCGTGGAGGTCTCCAGCTTGGTACAGAACAGATATTCTTCCTTGATGTCACCCGAGAAAACCTCGCTCACACACAGGAGCAGCTGCTAACAAGAACTAGCATCCATTGACTCATCCAACTATTATAGTGTACAAACAGAGTAGTTTTAGCCAATTTGATCTCGTAGATCACTTCAGATGACCTTTCGTAAATTTGCCGTTTCACCAAATTGATCAACAAGTATATGCACTAAACCAGCAGGTGTTAGTGCATTCAGCAAGTGTTGTGTATTCAGCTGATGTTGGTGTGTCCAGCAGGTGTTGGTGTGTCTAACAGGTGTTGGTGCATTCAGCAGGTGTTGTGTATTCAGCAGTTGTTGGTGTGTCCAGCAGGTGTTGGTGTATTAAGCAGATGATGGTGTATTCAGCAGGTGTTGTGTATTCAGCTGGTGTTGGTGTGTCCAGCAGGTGTTGGTGTGTGCAGCAGGTGTTGTTGTGTCCAACAGGTGTTGGTGTATTCAGCAGGTGTTGGTGTATTCAGCAGGTGTTGTGTATTCAGCTGGTGTTGGTGTGTCCAGCAGGTATTGGTGTGTGCAGCAGCGTTGGTGTATTCATCTGTTGGTGGTATGTCCAGCAGGTGTTGGTGTATCCAACAGGGTTTCGTGTGTCCAGCTGGTGTTGTTGTGTCCAGCTGTTGGTGGTGTGTCCAACAGGTGTTGGTGTGTCCAGCTGGTGTTGGTGTGTCCAGCTGGTGTTGTATCCAGCTGGTGTTGGTTTCCAACTGGTATTGGTGTGTTCTGTTGTTGTTGGTGTGTCCAGCTGGTGTTAGTGTGTATATATATATTGATAACATGTGTCCTGGTACCATAATGATGGTCGAAAGTATTGTATCATCACTTCAGGACAGCACAGTTGTCTCAAGTCTCCACATATCCTGATGTGTGGGTCACGATATGTACTTTTTGTTCTCATATGTTACTCGTATATTGTGTTTCAGATTCTAGGTGTTAAAAGTCGACTTACTCGTGTCGTGAACAACGGCAATAATACATAATATACAAATTCCACAGCGATCATGAAGGCATCCGTCATAACGTCTGAGTGACGTCACTAGTTAGTAAGACCACACCCTCCGTTCCCCGCTAATATAAAATTGAGCGCGGGTGTGTGGTCAGCAGATCAAGTCAGACCTTCCATCACCATACAGACATGAAGGTAATGGACAAATGCCGCACCATTTTACGAACACAATATTTCTAGATATTGATAAAGATATATAGAAATATAGGCTCGTCTTCAAAAGTTAAAAGTTGCTATTTTACTTAGATACTGACGTGTAAACGACACTAATCGTCTGGCAGTAAGGCCCAATGAAGGAAATTATTATAAAACTCAGGCAGGGAGTTTCCTTTGGGTTACCTGAGAGCCATATAATGTTCATAAAAAAATAATCATGTGGGTAAATATATTGACATTTCACTGATAACTTACTGTTGAAATAATAATGTTCAGTAATTTCTAGACACGAGGACTCCCCAGTAGAGTGGTGGGTATGAGGCGGTACACACTTAACCACCAATTGGTATTGTTGTCAAGACCTTAATAATTTTCTGTTTCGAGAACACGAAACTTGAGAGCCATTAATGTCGACACTGACAGTCTGAGACAGTATAGCTGTGACCCAATAGGCTATGCCTTTATCATAGAACATTCAATAATATTATTTATCTCCAGTACAAAAACATTCGTTCATGTTGGTATAAAGGGCATGGTGTGTCATGGCCGCCATAATGTTCTGATTATTAAACAAACTTTTATTGTTCACCAGACAGCGGCTCTGGTACTCTCTGTGGCGGTGGCGGCGTGGGCGGTCCCTCAGGGCGGCTACAACTACCAAGAGCCGGTCGTGCAGGGACCCCGGTACGCCTCAGCACCCGCCCAGTACAACTTCCAGTGGGACGTCAACCATTCACCTTCAAGCAATTTCTACGGACACCAGGAGGGGAGGGACGGAGCCAACACTAAGGGCAGGTGAGTGTTTGTACTCACAGTGGAAAAATATACATGGCAAATATTTTCATCATTAAAATACACATTCATCATTAAGTGCTGTGATAACAATAAATAAAACTCCTTTTGTATCAAACATAATAGTGTCAGTACAGGACCGTGACGCTCTTGGAAAAAAAAGGACATTGTAAACACCATCACAGGAATGACGTTAGTTAGTCACATGTACTCTAAGCTCCCAATTAAGCAGGTGTTTCCGTCCACAGTTACTACGTGCAGCTGCCCGACTCTCGCCTCATGCGTGTTGAGTACTACGTTGACGAAACTGGCTACCACCCCACTGTGACCTTCGAGGGAGAGGCTCAGTTTCCCAACGGCCCCTCCAGGGGCTACTCCCAACCTGCGTCTACTCCCCAGGAGACGTACCAACAGCCAGCCCCAGCTCCCTCACAGCTCTACTCTACACCGTAAAAATGAGACTAATGATCATAGGCTCTAATTATGGTTTTATATGTACAGTACATCCTCCATGACCCGTCGTCGACTGCTTGATTAATTATTCACAAACTTCTCTGTTTGACTCCCAGTGGATAGCAACTGAAGTTCTTGTCTTAAAGGACATCTAGTATCCAGTGTAGGTCCTGTGTGGTATTTCCTTCACAGTATTTTCCTGGTTTAATTCATGTTTCCACTTTACCATCTCCACATATAGATCCAACAGCTCTTGGCAACAATGTTTTGTTAGAGTTCTTGTATAAAGGTTGGTAACTCCGCCGCCTAGTCTCTGTAATAATGCTTGTTAAACGATGTACACGTAGCTATATTTTTATATGAATATTTATAGATACATATAATAAAATGTTACATGAATTACTTATTTCTTTCATACAATAATCTTCCCAACAAGTGTAAAACGAGTATAAAGACATTTACTAAAAAATATTTTTGGAAATTTAAATGTTGTGTTCATGTCTGATTGAGTGAACAATAAATAACAATATTTGGAAGGTGATAGAGGTGCAGCTCTAATGAGGTGCCTTACAACTTTTGGCGGCTTTTAGAGACTTTAATGAACGCTTCTCCTGACCACTGACTAAGTGAGAGAGGAAGGCTTCTACATGTGAATCTATGTCCTTAAAAAACTCCTTGAAAAGACGAGAGTTCAGGGCTCCTGATTTCATGGAACTGACGACTTTAACCATTGCCTACAGGGTTTTGTGAAGCAGAATATAAAGGACTTTCGACGCCAGTGCAGTAAATTCCTTCGCCTTCAGATCCAATTTATTGACACGCGTCTGAAATCCCGATTTCGATTTCAGCATCGCCAGAGCTCCATTCAACAGACACCGAAACAATTCTCCCAGTTAATCCCGCTGGCTGTAGAGGAAGAAACTTGCTCTTCCATCGGAGTGCAAACTGAGTAAATGGATCCGATTTGATCTCATAGATTACGTCTTCCGTTACGTCAGCTGATATTTCGCAAATCTGCCGTTGATCGACAAGTATATGGACTGAACCTTGGGGTCACTTGCCTCTCCGAGAAAGAGCCTCACAATCTTCATGCCACATTGTTTGATTAAGTTTCACCGATTGTGTTTGTATTCTTCTGCATCGCTGTTTAGAGGCAGGCAACATAGGATTCCTAAATACACTCAAAGTGTGATACTGGAAAGCAACACTCGTATCCAGTTTCTGTATTCCAAGATATTTTTTCCTTATGAAGAAGATAGCACAGCAACCAACAAGCATAACATGATTATAACCAATACATTACCACAGATATATGACAAAATCTGTCGGCCACGACAGTCACCGTAGAGAGACACACACAACACCTCGGCCACGACAGTCACCGTAGAGAGACACACACAACACCTCGGCCACGACAGTCAGCATAGAGATACAGTACCTCGGCCACGACAGTCACCGTAGAGAGACACACACAACACCTCGGCCACGACAGTCACCGTAGAGAGACACACACAACACCTCGGCCACGACAGTCACCGTAGAGAGACACACACAACACCTCGGCCACGACAGTCACCGTAGAGAGACACACACAGGACCTCGGCCACGACAGTCACCGTAGAGAGACACACACAGGACCTCGGCCACGACAGTCAACAACAAAACTTGCTCCCAGAAAAAATAAATCAACTTCAAGATGAAACTCATTAAAGGACATTGTCAGGTCTGTCATGGTCAAGAAAAGTGTACAAAATATTGCTCTAGTTATGGCCACGTTGAGACAGGCCAGAGAGTATAAGACGATCAGTTTTTTTCTCGTCAAGCGACCCGATGAGAGAAAAGTGGTCTGGTTCTTCCCTTTCTCCTACGGTGAAAGGCAACACGAGCGGAAGGTTACGTTTTCGGTTTACCTGAAAAAACTCGCAAGAGATTATCGTTTCGTGAATAACGAAATAAAAGAAGATTCTTTGCAAGAACGGTATTTTTTTCGGCAATGAATGAAATATTTGGCCACCTTTAAAACAGGATACATGAAGCTGCTCACACTACACACTACTTGTTATTCTTTTCTCTCTCTTTACACACACTCATACTATACACAGCACACTAGGTAGAGTAAGTGTAAACTCTTAAATAAATAACTTCCCTACGTGTTTGATCATTGCCCTCAGTAACAGGTGAAGGGAGAGGTTACCACAATACCACATGCTCCCGTCCAGAACTCGATCCCACATTTATTGATTGAAAATTTACACCTTTACATAATTTAAGAGAATAAAAGCTAAGAGCCTAAGGGTAGGTAGGTCAGGCAGCTGGACTGAACAGGTGGGTGATCAGCAGCATGTCCACCACCAGTCCGACACTTTCCCTCTCTCACACACATCTAGAACGTCTCCCTGCTAATGTTTCGACCATCACCTGTACTAAACTCGCCAGGGTCTCCGTAAAGGTCACTGCTGGTCATTAAGGGCCACATAGGAACCACAAATCCATTAGCAGTCATTAGAGACCATTAATGGCCACTAGACGCCAGAAGGAATACTTAAACTACTTTAAATTATGATTAAAGGCTGTGACTTAAGCCACTAGATGATAGGAAAAAAAAGATTACTCTTAACCCATAGGAACCATTTGGCAACTAGGACGATATAGCACATATAGGAGACAGAATATGAGGCACTAATACTTATAAAGGCATTACAAGACACTTAAAAGCCACTAGAAAAAGACACTAGGCGGGGCCAAACTGGGCTTTGCCACTATAGAGGCCAGAGTGGACGGGGCCAAACTGAGTGACAGTCACAATCTAGATGCATCCAGAAAAAACAATATTGTGGGCAAGAGGAAGATATAGTAGGCGGGTGTTGTGTATAGCGAGCGAGAGGGAGAGAGAGGGTACGCCAAATGCCCCGCCCACCACCACCAGTATATAAACTGTTCCTGCTCTACCCGGGCATCAGTTACCTCACATCTCCTCTCTACACAACATCATGAAGGTACTTGACTTCTTTACACTTAATACTCATAATGGACGCACGACCACGGGACCTCAACTCTCACAACTGACTCCTCGACGACACCGACCAACAACAAACCTTCCTCACCATGACGGGTTACTGTAAGATGCTCTGTAGACTCATAACAATACATAAGCGTGTTGAGCTTTATTAATATATTGAGAATTAAACCGAACTTTGTATAAACTGTTAGTAATGAAGTCAACCCACACTAAGGTACTTCACCTACAGCGACAAACAACAACCTGTTGCAGCGGCTGAACGATGAAAAATCCCTAAAACACATTTGTGTAAAGGTTTTCAACTTAAAATGTCTTTCGTTGATGGTGGAAACTCAGTTGAGCGTCATAGACTTTGTGACAGTGTATAGCAAACTGTGATGGCTGACGACCACTACCTCAGTGTCACATCCACCACGTACACCTGCTTCATTGGAACCCATGTGACAGATGTGGATTTTTCATAATTTCTGGAATTAAGACAATGATTAGTCGCGACAGCTAACCAGACAGTAGGTCAGTGGTTAACCTGACAGTGTTGTTCCTCCTACAGACAGTAGCTCTGGTGCTCTCGGTGGCGGTGGTGGCGTGGGCGGCTCCTCAGGACAGCTACAACTACCAGGCGCCGGCCGTGCAACAGCCTCAGTACCCCGACGCTCCCGCCCTGTACAACTTCCAGTGGGACATCAACGACGATTACTCAGGCAACTTTTACGGTCACCAGGAGCAGAGAGACGGAGACAACACCCAGGGCAGGTGAGTCTACGGTCACACCTCAAAACTAACGTAGTCACATAGTGCCAGAGAACCTGAACGATGAAATATTGAGCATTTTCTATGATTTTGGCCAGATTATTTTCTGTTTTCCATACTTAACATACAGGATTTATTAACTTAAGTACAGTGACAGGGATACAGAGCCGACTTAACTTTCGGTTGTTGGAAGTAGTTTTGATTTACTATGACGTCATCAGTATCCAGCTTCCATCACTGGTTCCTTCGTCAAATTAGAGTCTAGGTGTCACCTGCAGCTGAACGCTTCTGATAAATTCTTCATATATCTTAACATTACCATCCGTCTTAGCTAAGTCGTCATGAACGTCTTAAATAAGAAATCGTTCATAGTGGAATTCATTTCAAACCTCACATAAGATATTCAATATAACTACCAGACTCTATTAAGAGGCGAGTTGCGAAGAAACAAGTGAATTTAAATCTGTATTAAAGTTATCAATTTTAGATAAATTTGAGCGTAACAAAACAGTTGGAATACCTTTATGCTGCTGAACTTTCCTCTAACTTTTATAACACCAGATCAAGTCACCATTGAGAGTGCCGACATATTTTCTACGTGTTACTCTTAATATTATTTTAAATTCTACAGCGAAAATATACCTGAGTTTACAGTTGTTGTATAAAGTCATCTCTGAAACGAAGATGATTTCCCCTTTTTCTACTAGAGTGAAACCGATTATTTTTGTTTTGGTTTTTTAGAACCTGGTGCTTTTGCTGTTTTGTACCTGACACTGTACGTGGAACTTCATTATGTCATTATGATGCTAGACTTTACCTTATGATTTACGCTTTCTAACTGAAATCCAACTGACCAGTCACCTCCGTCCACAGTTATTACGTGAGGCTACCTGACACTCGCCTCTTGCGAGTTGACTACTACGTTGACGAGTACGGCTTCCACCCCACTGTGACCTTCGAGGGTGAGGCCCAGTACCCCAGTGCCCCCCAGCAGGCATACCAGCAGCCCGACCCAGCTCCCACTCAGTACTACTCTTAGCCAGGAAAATAAACACGATCAATACAACCTCCTTCATCTTTTCTCTACATTACGTTCCTAAGATGAAGGAGAACTGAACGATGGCAGAAGGATACCACCCCTGCAGGACCCCAGGCCCCACGGTGTTGTCAAGAACGTCTTCCAGCACAACTATGAAGGTCCAGGATCACTTCCTTGCTCTAATGTCCTTAATGTTTGTTACCTGTGTTCCCTGAGTCACATGTGTGTGTTTGTGTGTCTGTTGCTTAAAGAATTGCGTAGGTCCTCACACCACGCTTATATATCTTTGTATTAGATAGAATTGTTTTTATACTGAGAGTTTATGAATACATTACAGAAGAAAAAATATTATGAATTTCGTTCTTTCACTTGATAGAAAAAATATCCCTTTTGGTATCGTGTGACCAGACCAACCATGTGTGAACCAAGGTGTAGGTCTACTACTACGACGACCACTACAACAACCATTAAAGCAACAACTACAACAACCACTACAACAACAACTACAACAACCATTAAAGCAACAACTACAACAACCATTAAAGCAACAACTACAACAACCATTAAAGCAACAACTACAACAACCACTACAACAACCATAAAAGCAACAACCACTGCAACAACCACTACAACAACCATAAAAGCAACAACTACAACAACCATTAAAGCAACAACTACAACAACCACTACAACAACCATTAAAGCAACAACCACTGCAACAACCACTACAACAACCACTACAACAACCATTAAAGCAACAACTATAACAACCACTACAACAACCACTACAACAACCATTAAAGCAACAACTATAACAACCACTACAACAACCACTACAACAACCATTAAAGCAACAACTACAACAACCACTACAACAACTACAACAACCACTACAACAACCACTACAACAACCACTACAACAACAATATTATTTACTGGTTTGACTGGTGGATGCTGATGATGATGATGATGATGATGATGAATAGATGGTGATGCAAAGAACGATAATGAAAGGACATATAGAAAGTGAAATGAAAAATCTGGAATACTGTCTTGCCATGCTACTGATGTGTGTGTGTGTGTGTGTGCGTGTGTGTGTGTGTGTGTGTGTGTGTGTGCGTGTGCGTGTGAGTGGCAATAAGAGAGCGTGATACTGAGGGAAAGTGAATTACAATCACAGCTCAGCGGTTGATAGATCACGCTTTCATATTCCTGATATTATCGACCTAAAGCGAAGAAAGTAGCCATCGTTTGTGAAAGGTTTGAGAAATTGTCGTATTCAAAAGATTAAGCCAAGTTACTCAGTGGGCTAATGCATTGTACTCAGGAAGTCGGCATCGTACTCAGGTAGTTAGTACTCTAATGTGGTGTTATGTCGTTATTTATGCTTTATCTTAATATTTTTTTATTTATTTTTTATTTATTCTCGTTATAAGACACGACATGGGAGCTAATTAATCTTTACACTTAACAGGTATGACACCTGGGAGCTAATTAACCTGATACATATGACACATGGGAGGTATATAATCCTCACACCTGACACATGACACATTGGAGGTAAAAAATCCTTACACCTGACACATAAGGCACCTGGGACGTTATGTAATCAGCCTTCACACTTGACACACATAACACATAGGAGGTACTGCAATTAGTCTTCACATCTGACACCATTGCGTTGGGAGCTAAATATTCTACACACCTGACCACTTAGAAGGCAAATGTTGAACACATGTGACACATATGACACGTGTACTGTAATGGAAGTAATGCACACACACACACACACACACACATGACACGTTTGGCGCCTGCGAGATTAGTGTGTGACACCCGTACAATTGGGAAGAATAAATTCAATCTACCTTATACGTACAAGGAAACACATAATGGACACATATGGCACCTTACATATATACATACATACATAACGGCACCCATGGACTATCACCACTGCCGCCTCTCCTGGTAACATAATGAAATACGCGTGAGATGATGTTCGAGTACAATAAATACCACGCAACACATGTGACGTCATGCGCAACACATCTGACGTCATACTGATGTAAGGCGCTTCACTATGGTGTTTCCTGGTGCCCTACATCATTGGTGAGGTGTATGGAAGTGTGACGTGGTGACAACAGGACGCAGGAAGCACCTCACTCAACCGTCTCCGGCCTGCACGTATATAAGATGAGTCGAGGTGGTGGTGGAGTACAGTCTGCTTCACTTCTCCAGTCAGAGCACAACCATGAAGGTACGAGTCCTATCTCACGCTGACTGTTATTGAAAGTCACACTATACTCTGTCTCTTGTTGCTATACTCTGTTAAAGGAGCCGCTGCTATTTGAACACTGGATATACTGTACGTTAAAGTTGATTCAGGTTATTTCTTTTCTCTCTAAGACGATCGTTGTGAAAATAGCCAACATCTTTTTACTACTGTATGTACATTAAGCAAACTTAATCTTGTTTAATTTATTTCTGTAATTACCATTATCATTGTATATAAAGAAAATTTGATTGATAGTTTAGGATACAGCTTCCTCACGTTTAATTTACCATAAATATATGACAAAATAATCCCTTTTTTGTCCCGTGTGTGTAGTGGAAGACAGATGCAGGCTCTGGCAGAAAACATTCAAACTGGGAAGGTTATTGTTCAAGAAAGTCTTTATTTCTCAACCTTACTTTGTGAAACTCTATGTGGGGGCCCGTCTGTGTCTTATACAGATATTGCCTTACTTCATTTATGCCAGTCTAAACATTCTACGTGAGATTCTGTCCTTTTGTTGATATTGTCACTTCCATGTTGCTGATGACAAGAACTTGTCAGCACCTATAATGTCAAAGTACTGTAACTCTCGAGGTCTCTTGCGGCTGTCAGTGTAAGGCAATGATGGCTAATTAAGGTATTTGTTCCATTAATGTTTATTTACTTCATGTACTGTCACCAAGATCCTATGTTCTTCATTTTCCGCCAGACAGTAATTTTGATGCTCGTGGTGGTGTCGACGGCGGTGTGGGCGGGTCCTCAGGGGTATGGCAGCCAGGGGGGCGGCGGAGGTGGTGGTGGTGGTGGTGGTTCTGGAGGACAAGATTTTGCACCCCCCCAATACAACTTCCAGTGGGACGTCAACGATTCGCCCTCAGGCAACTTCTACGGCCACAAGGAGGAGAGAGATAATGACGATACTCGGGGAAGGTGAGTTGGATCATCCCGTGACACAGTGTACAGTAAGTTAGGTGAGGGAGAATCGGTGAAAGGTTACCTCCATGCCATCTCACTCAACAAACACCAGTGTACTGCAATACCCAAACAAACTATAAAATATGCAATAGCCATTTACACACTGGGCGCGTTAGAATCACATACAAGGAATCATGTGTCAACAGAAGAAAGCATCACTGAGTCACGAAACAATAGATAATCCAAATACAAGTCAAGTCAGGCACCTCTTAGTTCCTTTGTTTTGATTCAGTGTTAGGATCACCCAGATAAAATTCACCTCATATTAACAGCTCCTTCAGGGCTTTCACCCTTGAGAACTCTTTTATGAAAAACATCCTAAATGAGACATATATCCAGTATACAGACTGTATTTGCTGTTTGGTATAAGGACAACCACAGACACAACAATCCTAAAAGAAAAATTAACGATTGCTACATTACCCCCAATTCATTGAGAGCCTTATTGATAAAGGGAAGCTCAGATGTTTACATATTATCATCCACCAATCAACAGCTCCTCTCATTGAGTAACTAGACTTACCCGATATACAAGACGTTCCATCCACTCATCTGATGATCTACAGTGTTCATATGATATGTTAACCTAATGAGCGGGAGATATCAATAACCAAGTAGGTGTTCCCTCAACCGTTGTCCCACCCACTGAAAAAGAAACTTTCGCTACTGAAGTGATCACTAAGTCTTTTTTATCGTCCACAGTTATTACGTACAACTTCCCGACGGTCGCCGTCTAGTGGTCGATTACTTTGTGGATCAGTGGGGCTACCACCCCACCGTCACCTACGAGGGCGAGGCCACCTTCCCTTCCGGGGGTGGTGGAGGTGGAGGTGGTGGTGGTGGTGGAGGTGGAGGTGGTGGAGGTGGTGGTGGCTCCCAGCAGGGTTACTATCAGTAGCTGACCCCCAACCCTGAGCTGCTTTTTCGGCCAGCGGCTCCGGTCAGGACTTGAGGATGATTCTCATCAGGGTCGTTGTCACCTGTGGACCCATAATCATCTGAGGCCAATGGCCACGATGACGGTGGCTCCCAGCATGGTTACTATCAGTCATCTACTTACACTCTTCTCACCTGATGCCTCAGACTTAAGTACAAGGTGCAAGGCCCCGTTTGTTTATAATTCTCACCTAAAAGACTTGTGCAGTTTCCGTTAGTTGTTGTGTTCAGCGTTACGTTATGTTCTGTGTTACTTGTTATTATCATCATTTAGCTAACTATATTTTTCTAAAGATTTTGTTATATTAATAAAAGTATTTCATATTTCATGTAATATTTGTTTTTTTTACACATCTAATATGTTCTGTGTTAACATGTGAGCCGACGTACACAAGTGTGATGAGTGTCAAGGCCCGCGTCACCTTCCCCGAGACACGCGCCTCAGACTGACTATTCTTGTTATGCATGTGGGAAAAATTTGCTGACCATCTCCACAAATTTTCTCACAAGGGACTAAACGGGTAGTGCATCAACTTAATCTTCCTTCTTCTCACAGACCAGTATTTATAGAGGAGAGTAAATAAACTAATAACTATCAATCGGTTCCTTCATAATATGGACGCATCGCGTTCATCTTTGTCCTGAGGATGAATCAGTTATCAACAGCGTAAAATAGTTTCAGTAAACTGTCTACACATGGATATTTTTTACAATTTTGATAATCTGAATTATAAACAATGTTAAAAAAAACATTGATATGTCACCAAATAAACTGAAGTAGTTATTATATAAATTACCTACTGGTAACATCACAAGCTTTGACAAGACCTTTCAGTTCACCAATACTCTCACTGAAGACTCATTTTTATCGTGTCTTTAGGTTTAACAATGATCTGTAAACTCTTTCAAATGGAAATGGTCTTGACAAGATGTGAAAAACAGCTGCACTCATTATTGCAATCATCTCGCTTCACTGTCATTAAGTGTCGTCGTCCAGTACCTGACGAATACTATTATCTTGGATCAAGGTAAAGCGCCTAGAGACTGGAAATTAGCCAACATCACCCCCAGTATACAGGCAAGGCGGGAAGAGTGCGGCAGGAAACCACAGGCTGGTCAGCCTAACATCACATATTATATGAAAGCTCTTTCAGAAAATTGTGAGGGACACCATCATCCAACACCTAACCGAACACAGCTTATCAACGCATCACAACACGGTTTTATGGAAAGATAATCTTGTTTGATAAATATATTCGCCTTCATTGAAACGGTAACAGACAACGTGGGCTCACCAGTGGATGTGTTGTACATGGATTTCTCCAAGGCGTTTGACAAGTCCCACATGCACGACTAGCTTCTAAGATCTAGGTACATGGCATCACAGGCAAGATTTTGACGTGGAACAACACTGGGTCGAAGACAGGCAAAAAAGAGTGGGAATAAATGAAGTACATTCTGAATGGAAAAATGTTCTCAGTGGAGTACCACAAGGCTCTATCCCTGGACTCACCCTGTTTGTGATCTACATAAACGACATAGATGAAAATATATCGAGCCACATTGTCAAGTTTACGGACGACACGAAAATATTTGGGGAAGTAGCAAGTCAAGACCGTGTCGAGACTGGCAAATGCTCTATAACATTACGAAATGCAAGACCTTACACGTAAGATGCAACAACTTTAAACACAACTACAGTATTCTATATCAACACTTTCTTGGATACTGTCAATAAGGCGAAAGGTTCTTGGCGTTGTGATAGAGTAAAAATCTCAAAGGTATGTGGCAGGATATTAACAAAATTAGAGGAAAAAGGAGTAATTTTATGAGTCATCCTCATCCAGAGGAAGAAGCTAATAAACTGGTTGACAAATGGGCTAAAGCTGCTAGTGTTGCCTCCCTGCCTAACAGGACACTAGAAGCATTAGATGAGTGGCAAAATGAAAGAAGATTTATTTCATCATCTCTAAATATTTGTGATGTAACATGTGTAGATATTACTCAAGATGAGTTGCTAAATGCTGTTAAAAAAGAATATCTACAGCACCAGGCGAAGATGGTGTGACTTATGAAATTTTGAACTGTTTAGTTGGTATGGAAAATAGTCCATTATTAGATTTATTCAATATGAGCTATACAGAGGGTAGATTACCACCAGAATGGAAGAAAGGTTTAGTCATTCCTGTCCCTAAGGCAACTGGTGGATACAGGCCAGTGTCTTTAACATCTTGTTTTACCAAGATGATGGAGAGAGTATTATTAAATAGGCTTGTATATATTGTGGGGGATAATTTATCTTGTAATTTATTTGTTTTTTGGAAGGGAAATGTACTTCAGACACTGTTATAAAATGTTTATCAAATGATACAGTCAGATGTAGAGTTTTTGTGGATTTACAAGGAGCATTTGATAAAGCTCACAGTGAAGTAGTTATGAGTGAACTGGCTGCACTAGGGGTATTACACACTAAGTTCCCAACACCAAAGTTCCTTGTTGGTACTTATTATCCTTACGTCCTTATACACACATGGGTAAATCTATATATCTTTCAGATAATGAAATAGGCTTGAAAACATTCCAAATTTGGGAGCTTGCACTCACGGCTGTGTTTACCAGTGCCCGTTTTCTGTTGAACGATCTGGTGATTGATTACGATATTTACATTCCTGGGGACGCAACAATCAAGTCTGGGATCAGCCCAAGTAAACAAATAGAACAAATATGAAGCTCTAGCCAAGAAGTTATTTACCTTAAATGAGCCGCGGCTTCTGTCTCACACATCCAGTATACTGTACAGTCTCGTTTAAGGCCGCTTGTTTACTACAGTACGTAGTAAAAATTATGAATGAATATAAAAGTGATCGGTGACTGGTTACTAAGTTCCCCGTTGTTTAATTAATGGTTGGTCTTTGTTGTCTCGTATTATATTATACCTTTCTGATGGTACATATTGTTAATTTGATTTTAAAATGGATAGAGCAATGCGCCAACCTATATGAATTTATGTTTAGACAATTAAACATAAGTAAAAATCGTTAAGTGTGTTAAAGTACATCATACATCGGGCACAGCTGTGTGCAGGCTGTGTATGAGGTTGCCTGCTTATCATTAATTTATACTAATATTAACTTCAAACGTTTAATCCCTTTCGGGTAATTAATCCAGTTGTATGTAACCGAAGCAAAACATATTTCTTTCTAAAGACGCTGATTTCATGCAACACAAACTGCTGTTTTAATTCGCTGTGGGATTAAGTAGAATCATCGGCTCACTGCTACCTGTAGTAAGTGTGTGTGTGTGTGTGTGTGTGTGTGTGTGTGTGTTTAAATGAAGATGGTGGTCATTTATCTTACGATCCATCCGTCTGATGGTGTGAACTAGTGTGGTAACATATGCAAAATACTTTTACAAGCTTTTATCTAGCAATATCATTGTCATTCCAAGACTCTGAATATTGTACACAGCAAATGGTATTTCTTTCGTTGAGTGACTATTTGCCCCCCCCCCATCCTTGTTTCTGACTTGTTGATTACGTCACTTTTAGTCTGTTTAAAAAAAAAAAAAATATATATATATATATATATATATATATATATATATATATATATATATATATATATATATATATATATATGATAACACGGAAAAAGAAAACACGAAGTTCCCAAGCGCTTTCGTGTAATTCACATCTTCAGGGGTGAGTACAGGTACTCACTGAAGATAATTACACGAAAGCGCTTGGGAACTTCGTGTTTTCTTTTTCCTTGTGGTTATCAGCATATACCTGGATCACGCGCACCTACAGTGATTTATTTGTATATATATATATATATATATATATATATATATATATATATATATATATATATATATATATATATATATATATATATATATATATATATATATATATATATATATATATATATATATATTTTTTTTCATGTAGATCCACAATGAAAACGTGGATAAGATAAATCTTGATAAAATTTTCTTTACACCTACCAGGTGCACTATGACTTCATGGACTTTGTAAGACACTTTGGGCAGTCAAAGGCAGCTGCAATAACTGTATTTCCAGGAAAAACAGAGAGCTTCACGAATGTCTGTTGTGTTGACTCCCGTTTTCTGTCCGACCTCCAGACTCCAGAGGAAAATCTAAATAAGTAGCCATGTCAAGTGATTTGGTGAGCCACTGTTGTTGCTCTGAGCTAGAAGAGATAGTAACATTATGGATGTTGAGATATAACTATGTTTCATATTCGTATTACATCGAAGAAACTAAAACGTTAAAATAAAAGAATAAATAAGATTAAGAAAACAGCAATGGATAGCAATTGAATAACTTAAAGTGAGAGGGAGACGTTAGGTAAATAAAGCCGAACAGCGCGGTACAGAGACTCCTTCAAGAAGAGTTTGAGTGATATACCGTATAACCGGTAAATGTATTAAAGATCATCGTTATCTGGCATACTTTCAATCTTCCTGTCATAATATTTATTTTATTTATCGTAAACCTTCTCTGAAATTTCTAATGCAAAGGAAATTATGAATAAAGTTAATTATGAGATGTTTCGAATTACTCAGCGGGGCCACGTACTAGAGTGCTCACCTTAAGCACGTGAGGCTCCTTCGCCATTGATGCCATAGTTCATTGATGTTTACAGAGGAATTGCACAATTAATAATAAAGATTTTTTTTATACACCAATCGTAAAGTTTATTTCACCAGGAAACACTAAAGTTAACAGCAGCCTCCAGGGCGTCAATACCAAAATAATTTTAACACAACAGAGCAAATCACAGAATTTGGAGTGTAATGCAATCATCAAAGGTAAATACATAAAAACCTGCCAAAATTTATATTTTGTGTCTGAGAGATCAGCTGAGATGAGTGTGGGTCAGCTACTGGTAGTAACCCTGCTGAGAGCCACCACCACCTCCCCCGGTAGGGAAGGTGGCCTCGCCCTCGTAGGTGACGGTGGGGTGGTAGCCGGTCTGATCAGCGAAGTACTCAACCAGCAGACGGCGACCATCAGGCAGCTGCACGTAGTAACTGAGGGAGAGAGGAGGTGAGTAGTGGCAGGTGTCCAGTTAATGGCAGAAGTTAACGACTAAATGGGTTGACTTGTTTCAAAATTAATTAAAAGCAAAGAAGAGGAGCTGAGAGAGAGTAGGAAGGCCTCTATGGGCAGGAGAAGAAAACTAACTGACTAGCATGTAAAGCCGTGACATTATGTCCATTTAACTGATTGTTTATATAACCATCCTGTTGCTGCTAACATTATTCTGTCTTTAGCTACATCCAAACTGTAGCTCCACTTGTTGGCCCTCCACATTTTGTCGATTTTTAATTACTGTTATTTAGTTATTGTCTTTTTGTTTCCAAGTTCTTATTGTGGCCTATTTAATTTCGTTGCTTGCTTGTTGCTTCTGTCTTGCCACTTGTGTATTAATAATGAAAACACCATTACGTGTATATGCGTCTCATCAGGCGACCGCTTGAAGAAGGTCACTTTCCGGTGATATGAATGTAAAAAAAAAGCAACTGTGTTTTTGCATTGTGTTATACTCACTTGCCCTGTGTGTTATCTCCATTCCTTTCCTCTCCATGACCGTAGAAGTTGCCTGAGGGAGAGTCGTTTACGTCCCACTGGAAGTTGTACTGGGCGGGTGCTGAGGGGAACTGTACTCCCTGTTGTCCGTAGTTATTGGTAGCAGAGGTTAACAGATCTCCCTGTCCGCCGGACCCCACACTTCCAGATTCTTGCCTAACCGACTCCTGCCCGCTGGACCCCTGCCGTTCAGACCCCAGCACAACGGGCCCTGGGTTGTCGTACTTGCCCTGGGTTTTTGCCAGCGTCAACACCGCCACCGACAGCAAAAGAACAATTACCTGAAAGAAAACTCAATTAATTTGCTTACACTCACTTTATACGTTATTGTTTGAATAACTTACTGGTAACTAATAACGTTTACTTGATTAACTGTTCCTTTATTTTTCACGTTTTATTAACACGAGCAGCTACATTATAAAGGACAATGGCGTTAAGAGTGTAATGGGGACACAAGTACCTTCATGGCTGTGTCACTTGTGGATGGGTGAGCTCAACTGGTGTCTGTACATCAGTCCTCAGGTTTATATAAGTGACCAACACGGGGTGATGGGCGGGGTCCTCCCTTCTCTTACGTCAACGAATATCACGTGTGGTTAAACTTGGACATATGATAAACCGCCTCTTGTATCAGACAAATATTCAAAACTACACAAAACACCAGCTATTGCGCTCATCACTTAAACACGAAGCAGTTTTCTCCAAATATCAAAACAACCAAGTGTGACCATATAACTTACAGTATATGAGAACATTCAGTATCCTCATTTAATATTATCAGCTATACATTATACATGATTATATGACGTAGTACATCAGGACTGGTGAGTCTAGTATGATGATATCACCATCTACGGCCATAGTGGTGAGTACTATGTGGTGGTAATCCTCTACTCGAACAATGATGAACGTTATATGGTGACGTCATCATCATCTGCCTGTTCTTCTGGTATAATTTGCGTCTTCGTACAATGATATAAGATTTATTTTATCCTTTTATGGTACACAAAATGTTCTCGTGAGGATAAAGAAGTAATACTACGCTTTGTTAGTACTAATGGTCATCAACAACACATCTCCTGAATATTACACGCGGGTCAATATTTCATCAAGATGGACTCTGATTAATCATATAACTAGTTTTTATACAATACAATACGGTACAATACAATACACGCATCAAAAGCTAAAACGAATCCCTGAAACAAATGTGTTCTCTCATCATCATCGTGAGGGGTAACAATTATTGACGTATGTATCTCATGTTTGCCTTGTCACTCAGCACTCGTTGCCGCCTGAGTCACGGGATGTGGAGGTAAATATTCTTAGACTGACAGTATATCGTGTAAAAGTGTCTGTAGAGGCACCAGTAAGTGTACAGGGGTCACAGTTGCGTGCGGGAGCTGCGCCATTATCCGCCGGGATCTGTCATGTGAAATGTGACAGTTATGAGAAGGAACATTTTGGTGACGATGAGAACTACTTTTATGTTTTGTGAAGAATGAAATACAATACTGATCTAAATGGGATTGGGAAAGGAAATAAAAAAAGGGAAATTAAATAATAACATTTTATCAAGTCATCTCACTCCCCGAGATGTCGTAGCGGACGTTTGACTTTCCTAATGTGAAGAAGTCAAGGGTAGGAGTTTATGCCTCAAAGTGTTGGGACTCTCAGAGAATTACGGGACAGTTTCGCAATAGTTTTAATACTATTACAGGGATACTATGGAAGTCTTATGTGACAGGGTAAAAAATGAGAATCTTTGAGAATACGTGGCCAAGGTTGAGTACTTCGCTGATCAGACCGGCTACCACCCCACCGTCACCTACGAGGGCGAGGCCACCTTCCCTACAGGGAGAGGTCAAGGTGGTGGTAGTGGCGGTGGCTCTCAGCAGGGCTACTACCAGTAGGTGATCCACACTCATCTCAGCGGCTCAATCCGGCAGTAATACAAAGTGACAACTCACTTATTCAACAACTCGCGTTTCTCTTAGTTCTCTGACGTATTCTATTTTACATGTATAATTCCCTAAAAGGTTTACTGATGCGAGGTAATTTGTTTGGACAGTGAGTTGTCCTGTCACAGATCCTTCCATATGGTTTCAGGGGAAGGCTGAGTGCGGTCTGTCTGGATCCGGAGTTTATCAAAGAAGAGTTCCTCGTGGGTACCATCAAATCACCTGTTCTCTTCATTTGTTTTTTTGGAAGATGTTCCTACATGATCCCTGAATAAAGGATCTTTGTCTAGGTCGTCGTATATTTTATTTCTTGCTTGTTCAGTTATATATGGTGTCTCTTTGCGGCTGAAGCCTCTCAGTCTCTTAACTCGACGCCAGAACTCTCCTGGGTCATAGTATGTTTGTGAAAATTGTTCTACTATTTCAGCCCATTTGAGGTTTGCTTTGCTGCTGAGATGTTGTTTTTATTTCCTCCCGTGTTCTTCTGTATACATTGTAGTTATCGGTGTTCCAACTATGGGTCTCGACGCTGTGTTGTAGCAGTTGGAATTGGTTGGTGAGGACAATGAGTTTTGGAGTCTGTTGTGGGTGTGGGAGTGTTCTGGTGCGTTTGGGAAGGGTGGCTTCTTATTAGGCTGTTCCAATGGCTTCACACCATATGTTGATTTCTTCGTCTATTTTGTTCACCGGCTGAATGTCTGTAGGATTGTCATATACTTGGCCTCAAGCTTCGTTTTAGCTTTTTATCGCTGAGTAGTTCCCAGTTGGTCCACTAGGCGAGCCTCCTTAGTGGAGCTGGTATCGTTATTGGTATTGCGGAGATGGTCATGATTATAGGGAGGTGGTCGCTGGAGGACCTTGCTTAAAGAGGTAGTTTGTTATTGCTATGTCTGGGGTAGTGGCCGAGTTCCTGATGGAAAACGTAGGGAAGTCTGGGCCTATTAGCTGGGCTCTTTTGTCCGTTTTGAGGCCAGCGAAGCCTCTTCCAACATTGTTGGTTGTCCTCTTACCATCTAGTAGAGGATGTCTGGCGTTCATGTCCCCGTAAGGCAGGTACTCCCTGCGTGGTGGGAAGTAAGTTGTGGCCAGTATGATTGGTCCTGTGGTCAAGTTGATTTGAATAGCGAGAGTTTCAGAGAAGTCGTCTATAATTGCGTGGTGGACATTTCTATTTATGGCCATGGCCACACCATCGACTCGGCTCCTCTGACAGATTTTGTTTATGGATCTTGTAGACAATTACTTTACTTTCTTCGGTGTCTATACTAATAATAATATTTTTTTCATAATATAAGTTGTATATGATTTTATGTTTACTACGTGCTAACTTCATCATGCCATCTGTGGGATGTTGAACTGCTAAAACTGCTTTTAGTTTTTATTTATATTTTTTATTTATTTTATAACACGTCGTGAAGATCTTATAACAATAACACAGAGAAATATTGGCTAACAACACAGATAAAAGTAACAGGACAGGAGGTGTTGTATGTTGAAGGCTTAAGGTGCCAGCCGAGGTCTCAACACACGGCAACACGTATCCTTCACTGGTCTAAGAGAGCCGCTGGGAAGAGTGTGGGTCAGCTACTGGTAGTAACCCTCCTGAGAGCCACCGCCACCACCACCACCACCTCCACCCCCCGCAGGAAAGGTGGCCTCGCCCTCGTAGGTGACGGTGGGGTGGTAGCCGAACTGATCAACGAAGTACTCAACCAGCTGACGGCGACCATCAGGCAGCTGCACGTAGTAACTGTGGGAGAGAGGAGGTGAGTAGTGGGAGGTACAACAAAACACAATGACGAGCATTTTAAAAGAAGAGTTAAATTGTGAACATTTAAATAAAAGTAATAGTTTGCCTGTAGACGGAACTTACTACTGAGTGGATAGGAAAATAAATATCTATTGTGGTGAACTGAGTGAAAGATGTAATATAAGATGAGTGGTCGTTTTATTTATAAGAAAAATAATAACTGGACAACGTTAGGGTGAGCCAACACCACCATTATGTAGATACGAGGAGAAATTCCCAGAAAACTATAAAAGACATTTTTTCTTAATATTTAAAGTTATTGAATAAAAAAGTTTATATATCGAGACGTGTGAAGGCAGCTGAAATAGTAATGTCATAATCACTTCATATCGAATACAAATATTGCAGCACTAATAATGTGGTAAGGTGAATTTACCTGCCCTGGGTGTTGTCTCCGTCCCTCTGTTCCTCGTGACCATAGAAGTTGCCTGAAGGAGAGTCGTTGACGTCCCACTGAAAGTTGTACTGGGCGGGTGGGTAAACAAACTGGCCTCCCGGTCTGCCGGACCCCTGGCCGCCATATGAGGCAGGTGCAGAGGCTGACGGACTCCCTTGCCCGCCGGACCCCTGACCCCCAGAGACTTGTCCTCCGGACCCAGGGGTGTCATAGCCGCCTTGGGGTGTTGCTAACGCCACCACCGCCACCGACAGGAACATAACAATTGTCTAGAACAGAATATATAAGACCATTGCGTGAGAAACAACGCCAGTAACATCCGGTATGGAGCATCTTGACGTTGCTAAATATTTTGGAAACACCGTCAACATTTAATTTTATAGACAATCGAGCACAAAGATGTAATCAGTGTTCACGGTGAGTTGTCGACTTAATTATTCTCTAGTTATTCCGTAATTGATATTTCAGGTTGACTGTTTTTAAACCATTCTTGCACAAGGACATTTATCAAGCATGTGATTCACACATCATCGATTATAATAAATAAAGAAAATTTATAATTTTTGGTAATTTTCCGTCAAGGACCTGAGACCGTATAAGATTCATCAACTATTAACATGAGTCCAATACACGAGTGAGTAGTCATTGTGTGTAGTGGTGCGGACAACAAGTACCTTCATGACTGTGTCTCTTGTGGAGGTGTGAGCTCAACTGGTGTCTGTACATCAGTCCTCAGGTTTATATAAGTGACCAACACGGGCTGATGGGCGGGGTCCTCCCTTCTCTGTAGTCAGGATCCATCACACGCAGCGAAACATAAAACATATTACAAACAACTGGTTTTATCAGAAGATAACCCAACTTAACTGCCCACAGCACCAGCTATCACGCTCACCACTTCCACTCGAGAAAATTCTTCAGAAATATTATATAAATTAAGAACAAAATGACAACATCTCATAAAACCATTTCACATAACTTCATAAATAGTATATAATTATATCCAATATGTGTAGGTGTGTACATCTGTGACTGCGCGTTATAACTCTTATCAAGTTTTAACAGTTATATAAATGATCTGGGATATATACAGCCGTACAAACTGTAATTCATTACCTATTGTGGTTTAAGTTTGGTATCATTTGTTTCTGTTTGACTTCGACCTTTTATGATAAATATTGAAAATTTTATAACATCCTCTCTGAAGTGCTAATGCCTTGAAATCATTTGTATTTTAATAAGCCAGATATTTAACACTGTTTTAGAGAATAACAGGCCTGCTTACCAATTGTGAACGCATTTAGTTTGAATATATGTACAGCTACTGTATATGAACAGCTATATTTAGAGAAAAGGGGCGTGCCTTACGGGCCAGGTTAGCGTGGAAATACTATAGGTTCCTTAAGCCCATAGTGGGAGTTTTACTACGATGTAAACAAACACACAGGTGCCACATCTAGCAAACTGCGCCAACCACTGTATCAGGTATAAGTGCAGACTATTGTACCGGAAACAGTTGGTAGCTCTGACGTACTGTCCCGGATACAGATCTATAACTACAACAATTAAGGTAAATATATTTATGCCGCTGTTAAAGAGGAACTGATGAGTTGCAGCAGTGATAATATATATAAATCAACACTGAAGGGGGTCAAGATATGGAAATTATTTGAACACTCCTGAATATTTGTTTAGCTCTTAAGGTCTTATGAAGCTTTTGTGTTCTTTATGTATAAAATAGTGAATAAGAACATAAGATTAACCCAGTGATATTATCAGAACATTCAGCTATTCACTCGGCCTTCATTACCAACAATGCTTGCCTTTAATGATAGTTTTTTCCAGATGATAACAAAAGTGACCATAAATTTCTTCATATCATCTGATCGTGAAACATAATTATCTTTATAATAATTAATATAAGACCTCAAAGTGTAGTCATATACTTTATACATTGTTGGAACCTTCCTCACCGAGCTCTTGGCCATACACAATAAGTATACATCTTATCTGAGGTGACTATAATACTCTTTCAAATCCTTGGCTTCCAGCATGACAGAACTATGGCGTTACTGACCCATCAAGAGAAAAGTTGTATATAAGTTGTGATAATCTATGTCTCTGTTGTGAAGTTTCAATCATGTGATATAAATATACAAAGGAGATGTGATTATCTATATGTAAAGGGGTTAATCAGTGATAAATATACGTACAGTTCTTTGTTAATACGTCATGTATACTTGAACATCTTATTTGTAGGTAGAAAGTCCATTCTATCATAATTGAAAGATATACATTAACTTTATCTATTCATGTATAGAAGGTGTACATTAACGTTGTCTCTCATACGTGGACGATTATAGTCATGCAGTCTGAGAGAGAGAGAGAGAGAGAGAGTCTTCAGTATTGTAAGTACTGTGATAGAGCTTCACTCTCGTCAAAACCTTCACCGCTGTTCTCACTTTAGTAGCATCATCTCCTCGTCATAACTTGCCAACAGTACACGCTGTATCGATAAGGACCTAAAAGTGTTTAATATACAGCCAAGAGTTATCAACACAATGATTTCAATTATCAACTAAACCAAAACAATATTAATGAGGTATAAAGTCAATTAATAACAGTAGTCGTAGTTGACCGTTATTGTACTCATCATATTTTGTGAAATTCAACAATTATCGCGACAGGTGAAAGATTGTGTAATAAATACCAATATTACTATATGTATATTTATTTGTTTAGTGATAATATTGTGGAGAAGAGAACACCGTATACCTTTCGGTAGTCATGACACAACATAAGTGTACATGTTACCAGTTTTTGGGAGACTCATTCAGCAAATTCCTCACTTTCCATAAACATTTTCCTTTCTATCATCTCTGCATATCCACAAGATGTTTCATGCAGCGTCTAAAAATAAATACATGAAAGCATTTTTGGGTTCGAAATCTTAAATCAAAATTTTATATCAGGAATTATTTTAATATAACAGGTAGCGTTACCACTGACTTGTCGAGACTACGATTAATGCGTCCAGCATGACAACCTACAGTGTACAACGTGTTCATGCCGTGCTTGATATATATATATATATATATATATATATATATATATATATATATATATATATATATATATATATATATATATATATATATATACACAAAACCCAATCCAAACTTATCGTAACCTAACCTAACCTACTCAAGGTATAATGTGCTATATTATGATAGTAAACGACGCCTTTAGCGGAAAAAACAGCAAATTTGACCATGTAATATACATTGAGTTAAAGCAACAACAATAAAACGTTATCTCTATTCGGCAAATAATTCAGCTGCTTGTTAAGGTTTAATCGGTGCTAACTATCGCTCCATAGATTAGTTTACAATAATATGCTCTAAACGTTCGTATTTTAATTATATTAAATAATTTAATATTTTGAGATGGACTTACTGTAAGGTTTAGTTGTGACGTCATCAAGATAAAAAGCCCCGCCCACCTATCGTAGTATCCGTGGCTCATATATAGCCGGGAGCCGATGTCTAGACACCAGTTGAGCTGAGACCTTCACAAGTGACACAGTCATGAAGGTACTTGGTGTGTGCACCACAACACACTTGACACAGCACTTATAAAGGACTCAACACTACTCAGTGTCTTGTTTACCTCTTGCAGTACAACACACACGGCACCAAGCTGACTCACACCTGTAATATATATATATATATATATATATATATATATATATATATATATATATATATATATATATATATATATATATATATATATATATATATATACACGAGTATGTGTCCTGTGTCTCGTAATCACCAAGACACATGACACTATATGTGTCCTGTATCTCGTAGCCACCAAGACACATGTTACTATATGTGTCCTGTGTCTCGTAGTCACCAAGACACATGACACTATATGTGTCCTGTATCTCGTAGTCACCAAGACACATGTTACTATATGTGTCCTGTGTCTCGTAGTCACCAAGACACATGACACTATATGTGTCCTGTGTCTCGTAGTCACCAAGACACATGTTACTATATGTGTCCTTGTCTCGTAGTCACCAAGACACATGTTACTATATGTGTCCTGTGTCTCGTAGTCACCAAGACACATGTTACTATATGTGTCCTTGTCTCGTAGTCACCAAGACACATGTTACTATATGTGTCCTTGTCTCGTCCTTAGTCTCGTTAATTTATCTCTCAATAGTAGATCCTCAGAACGTTGCACTTGACTCTCGTCTTCACTGAGATATATTAAAGGTATTCAATAACAGGTAGATTAATGACATTCTTCCACGAACATTGTTAATTATCAAAAGTCGCCAGATTATATTCTTACTTCTTCAGACATTGGTGTTGATCCTGACGGTGGCGGTGGCGGCGTTGGCGAAACCCGATGGCGGCTACGGCGGCCAGGGTGGCGGCGGCGGGCAGGGAGGTGGTGGTGGGTTCCCCTCAGCACCCGCCCAGTACAACTTCCAGTGGGACGTCAACGACTCTCCCTCAAACAACTTCTACGGTCACCAGGAGCAGAGGGACGGCGACAACACAAAGGGCAGGTGAGTCTACGGTCACCAGGAGCAGAGGTACGGCGACAACACCCAGGGCAGGTGAGTCTACGGTCACCAGGAGCAGAGGGACGGAGACAACACCCAGGGCAGGTGAGTCTACGGTCACCAGGAGCAGAGGAACGGCGACAACACCAAGGGCAGGTGAGTCGTTACACCTCCACCCTGATGACACCGAACCATCAAACAACATAAACAATCTTAATACCTTTTTTTTCTTACTTCTGAAAAGTGATCATAACAGAGGCACATGATGGTGCGCCTCCATGATAATTACATTTTTCTCAAACACTTCAGCGACATTCAGGTGTTAGAGACTTGTAGTAACACATTTATTTGTTTAAAAGAATATGGGTTTGGTAGTGGCTCAAAGGTGTTATTGATCTATGAATGAGGTTTATGTCTTCTAGTAAATAGGTGCAGGGAAAGAAGAGACAAGCAATGGAAATATGATTTGGATTGGCGTAGCTGTAAGGACCGAATGAAAATGTGGACTTATTGTTACTTTAAAGAATCACCGAGTGGAATTATAATGTTTTGTAGATGAAGCCAAAGAAAAGTGACATCGTAGCATCAGGACAGGACGATGCTTTAGGTTGACCACGTTAGTACTTCTATGGATAACTGAAGCCAAACTGTTTACTACTTAATATAAACAATTCTCTCTGGTTAAATAGAAAACTTCATGGATCTTACTTAACTGTTCCTCATGTTCATCAGAAAACTCCTTCAAAACTCTCGGCGTCTTTCTACTGTACTGAACAAGTCTGTTTTTCGATAGATATTTAAGTTCTCCCTTCAGCTTCTGCAACTGCACATAATTATCTAGTAACTGAAAAAGGTTATTCCACGAGGTAGTTAACTTCTGCCATTAACTGGACACCTGCCACTACTCACTCCCTCTCTCCCTCAGTTACTACGTGCAGCTGCCTGATGGTCGCCGTCAGCTGGTTGAGTACTTCGCTGATCAGACCGGCTACCACGCCACCGTCACCTACGAGGGCGAGGCCACCTTCCCTACCGGGGGTGGTGGTGGTGGTGGCGGTGGCTCTCAGCAGGGCTATTACCAGTAGCTGACCCACACTCATCTCAGCTGCGAAGTTTTTCTAACTGTGTAAACCTTGCCTTTGTTGGTCATAACTAAGGAGCAAATGTTTGGTAATCTCACATCTCTGTTGTTGATACTTTTTTCGCGTAATGTTTTGTGATATTCATAAATCTCCGTTTCTGTTTTTCCTGTATCATTCTTCCTAAACAAGAAATATTGTGAATGTTGCATGAAGAGAAGTTATTTATAAGTACAGATCGTATCTTCGTTGAGCTTAAACCTTACAACAACAAGCGAGAATAATCTTGAATCTTTTTTTTTTGGGGGGGGGCACCCCCCTACATCCTTGTGTAAGGTGAAGCGCAGAAGCGTTTACAGCTCCCAACAGGGAAGCATGCTAAGTTCATGCTTGACCTTTATGTCTCATGAGTCAAGGGCGTAGAAGCCTGAAGAGTCAGTGGTTTTTTATGTCATCAAGTTATTGGAAGCTCCAACAACTCCCTGAATAAGAATTCCCAACTTTCGACTGACAACAGGTACATCCATATGATGGATATGATCATATGACCTCTGGAGTCATAGTTTTTCCTTGTACAGCAGAGGAGTCGGTGTGGCCAAGCTTAACTTATGGAAGAACTAAACATCTTACAGAAGATTTTCATTACATGATAATACACTCCTATTATTATCGGTGAAAAAGAGTAAATCACAACACTGCAAATTCATATAAAAAAAACCTGTCCAGAATTACAAGTTCAAAGACCTTTTTTTATTGACGAAATTCAAAATGGCCGCTACAGCTAATTTATCAATACTATTTTTGGCCATATCCCAACTTCTAATTGAGATAAAGACTTAATTTTGGGGCCAAAATCCATGTATTTGTAGTCTGAGAATCTGTTGAAACACACGGAAATTTAATATGATATCAGTCTCATGCAATTATTTACAAAAATATGGTCAATCAGTTTCATCAATCAAACAAATATGTTATACACAGCTAACTCATTATAATGATAATACTTGTTCCACAGTCTTGCAACAGCTCATGGTGGCAGATTGTTCCAAGAGTTTACAACTGTCACTTCGAAAAAGTTCGCCCTCACAGTTTTCTGAACTTGCGACTTCTTCAGCCTTGAGCTGTGAGTTGTGACAGTGTGTAGGGCGGGCGTCCGCCAGCTCCAGGCATGGACACTCGTCTGAGTAGTGCCCTTTGAGATGTTTATACACCTCAGTTAGGTCCCCCTCCCCTTGCCCGTCTGTAGTATAAGCTAGGCAATTGCAGGCGCTCTAATCTCTCTGGGTAGCTGAGGTGCCGGAGTACGGGCACCAGTCTGGTGGCCCTCCTTTGGACATTTTCAATCAAATGACAGTCCCTAGCATATCACTGGGACCAGACAGGGTGACAGTACTCTAGGCGGGGAAGCACCTCACTCTTGAAGATCGTTACGAGGGACGGTCTAGTTGCTTGATTTCAACCTCTCACAATGAAGGACGGGTTATCCATCATGATGTGGGTAAAGGAAGGGTCATCCACCTTCCTGCTGCTGACTTACTGTTTAAGAATACTAATGATAAGTACCGTGCCTTGTTATTCCTCATTTTACGATATCATCGCATGGATACTGTGATTACGTTATTCTGATGAATAAAGAAGAGTACAGTATATTTATATTTTTGTATATTTTACTGAACAAAAAAAATTGTATGCAACGTATGTGTTATAACATTTGTATACAATCCTCAACCATCAGCAACCAGATTTGAATAATGAATATTGTTTCGTTTGCTTCTATATACTAAAATATAGTTACCCCTAAACATATATATTCTAATCAAAGAAAAACGTCTATGGTGATACTGTGTTTAAACGAGCCCTTGTCCTAGACCCAAACACTCTCCCTCGGTCACCAGTCAACACCTATAACGTCACTAGAACACATTTAAAAGCTCGACATTGTAAAGTTTGTCCAAGTGAAGGAAAAGCCTACACGTAAGCTTGTCATATAATGAAAATAAGGAAGTGCAATTCTTTGGGTTCCACTCTTAGTAACATCCCTCGTCTACTGCCATACTCTCAGTATTTCTATTCACAATAGCTACTATTCGCATTATGTTCACTGTTGATCCTACTGTATGTCTATTCAGTAACCATAATACTGATTAACTGTACGGGAGAAAATAAGGTAAAATTATCGTTTCGGTCATCCACCTATTTGGATTATATGTTCAAAACACCAAAAACCTAACCTAACCTAAACTTTAAATCCTGTAATTCGTTGGGTGACCAAAACGATAATAATACCCCTAACCAATGTAATGTAACCTAACCTAACCAACCTAATCTAGCCACAGAACCCAGGAACTATATCTAACCTAACTGGGTGGGCTTTGCCATCCCGGACCCCCCCATTTCTGGTGGGGGGCTTGGCCCGGGTGAGTGAAACTAAAGTAATACTGAAAATAAGGCACAGTATATTGTTAAGTTCATTTAGAATAGCTCAAGATATGGAAATAGTTGAACAGATGGTTAGCCTGTGTTTCCAAACGGTGTAGTCTAAAATTCCCCAAATCCAGGGGCAAAAATCTGGTACTTGCTGCCACTATGTGCAATCAAAGTTGAAACAATGTTTTTCCTATGGTTTTTGATGTGGAAAAAGTTTTGAATCTAACCAAACCTAACCTAACCGGAGGGGCTCCACATTAATTCTATGTTCTGGGTGTGTTCCGCTACGTATGAACATATATAATAAAATGTTCAATATCTCTCATACATAATTAATACCAGAAATGCCATTGAAGAAAAGTGTCATAGAATTGCCCAAATACCAGATTGAAACTATTAAATTCACGAGATTCGTTTAGTGGCAACAAGTGAAAGGTAAATTATCATACTTAATAAAATGTTAAATATCTCATATAGAGACGTGAAATTACTCCCATTTGATGAGCGTTCACATTATTTTTACCTCATTATTTCCCTCTTTTTTGCCCTACCCACCATTAAGTAATTTATGATCAAGGGATAGGCTAAAAAGAAAAGAAACTACAATGTTGTTGCTTTGATTTTATTACTCAGTATCATCCAAACAACATCTGAAAATTGGGTGCAATTCCAGAGAGTTCTTCCGGTAATAACGGTCTCCTCCACTTTTGTCTACCCTTTCCACAGTTGATATTAATTAATAAAAACAATACAACAACTTTTTCCTTTAATTATATTTATTTTTATTTTTTCGTTTTCTCTATGTATGATCATAAATCGCCTGTAGTGGACGGGGCATGAAAGATGAAGGAAATTGCAGTGTAAATTGTGGCAAAAATGGAACCTATTAATACCTGGACCATCGTGAGAATAAGGTATATCAAGCAAATAAATTAGTTAGACTTACGCCAAGGTCATTCACATATATTGTCCGTCCCTAGTTAAGCTCTTCAAAAGTGAGGTGCTTCCCCATTTGGAGTACATTATTGTACTGTACTGTCATCCCACTTGGTCTCTGAGATACAATATGTTTGTTTTAAATGTTTATAAAAGTAAGAACATAAAACTTTATTTAGGTGTTAAAATTGGTGAGGTCAGTTAGACTGTACCATCCTGTACTCTCAACAAGCTTGCTTATTTTAGGATCTGGCATGACCTTGGTCCAGGGAATTGTGGATATGAGAGATTTAAGTTTTAATTGGTGGCTTTGGCATTATAATACTAAATAACTTTTTTTCCAGGTTGAAATACAGGACTAGTGGATGCAAAGTAACTTAGTGACATGGCAGCTTCTCTTCACACACTCTCTTCATCACATGATGACTCTGATGACAGGTTAGTTCTTGTGAACTTATGGTGTTAATAGATTGTTTAAAATTGCATAATGGAAACAACTTGGATATTATATTACATAAATTCCTTTAGCTTTAACAAGATTACAGTATTACAGCTCTATAGCAAAATAATTGTGAGTTGCCAGTTTGGTATAAAAAGTTTTTCGATATAAAACAAATATGAAGAACTCATCCATTACAGAACTCTGGTCTGTATATAGGTATCCAATAAAATAATAATAATATAATAATAATAATAATAAACGGTTTATTAATAGAGTTGCAGCCGGTGGCTGAAAATATACAGACTTACATTTGATTTAGACATAATGATATTACATGCATTGAATACATTTACAGGGCTGTACAGTACATAAATCAGGAGTTGTTTATTATTTTAACAACAGATGGGATGGTGCTATTCTTATATCTATCGATGCGGGCTCTTTTGGGCTGAATTTTGTTGTAGTGGTAGACTGCGCGAGTTGGGCGGGGGGCTGCCGGTGGCAGGAGGTGGCGATGACGAGGGTGGTGCATTAATTGGCTGCCAAACCTTTCCAGTGCTTGGTAGTGGAGGTCACTGAGGGATGGCATTTCCAGGGTGGAGAGAGCGTTGGTGTAGCCGGAGTATTCTGCGCCGAGCATGATTCTGCAGGCCCTTTTCTGTACCTTCTCCCTTGCTTAACAAATGTTCGAGATACAAAAATTTGCTTATATGAATTTCCTAAATTAACTTTCTTACTGATGATTATCATTGATATCAATTGAAATATGGCTACTGAAAAAAATACTATTAATTGAGATATAAGTGAAGGTGAATTTGAAATATTGAGTGATGAAGAAAATTATGGATTGGATGAGAAAAATGAAACAAAGTGAAAGTGAAGGACCTGGCACATGTACAACATGCTTCTTGCACATAATGTATGTAATTGGTTACAGGGTAGTACTGTACTCTCTTATTTACATGAGGTATTTCACTTATGGTTGATGGTGAGTAGCATGAGTATAGCACTATTTATGCAGTATGATGCACACTTATTCAGCACGCCATTTGAGTTCTTTCTCAACTAAATTACACTACTGTGTAAGTTCATAGAACTAAGCAGCTTGAATGCAGAAAATGGCTTGCACAAAAAAATTTACTTGGATTCCTTACTTAATTTTTTTTAGTAGATAGCTATTGTGCTCAAAAGTTATTAATATATTATTAATATACAATTTCGGATGATTACAATGATACCAAATACTTATGGAATAAGTGAGATAATTTATTTTATTAATACTTGTCAATATGCGCATCTCGGCTGTTGCATTTGGGCAGCAAAACTGCTGTACTTCGTGGGTTAACTCACCAAGACCACAGCAGAAGATATACAAGATGGAGTAATGGGAATATAAACATCTTTGTTAGCATTTGAACTATGAAGAATATACAGTATAGCTATTGTATATGACTGCCACCTTCCCAACAGATTTAAATACTGTATGATGGTACATGAAATTGAAATAAAATACGATACTGTATTACCAAATTACTTTGAAAATTTGGTTGGAATATAATTACTGTATGTACAGTACTACTGTACTGTACTGCTTGTCAATTTGATGGTACCTGGAGACAAATTCAATAAGTCTGTATACGGTACTGTAACCCATTTTGATGATGATGCTGTATTTACCGCTCTTCTTTGATAAATATAATTATCTTTCAGCTTGCCTGATCTGGAAACCCGCTTGAAGCCATTGTTGGTACAACCTCTTCACACCAAGCCAACTTTTTACACATTAAGCAGTGATGGGGAGAGTGATTTTAATGAGGAAAATAAGAAAGGGATCGAGAATGATGAACCTCTTGTCATTAACACAAAGTTAAAACGAACAACAAGTATGTTATTATAGTACCAAATTTTTGTTCTAGAAAAGAAAAAAAATTATTTGTTGTAAAACCTTGTTCTTGTTCAGAAGGAATTCTTTTAAAGTTTTGGAATTGGATCACCATGTTAGGAGATCTTTGTTATTTTGTCACCTAAGTCTTAAAGCGTCAGTCAATATCCAGTTTATCCCCTGTACAGCTGCAATTGGGGATTAATCAACAGATTATCCATACTTTCCCCTTATAACCAGAAGCTTTTATAAAGGGTCTTGGGAAATGTAAACCACCATTCACCTTTGAAGCATTTGGGTCATTGCCATTTAATAAGTTTGTATTCTCCCAGTAGCTTGTTCTTTTTTATAAGATTCATCATCATCAATGTTTTACAATGTGTGTGGGTTAGCCACTGTTACCTGATGGCAGCCCTCCATGCTACACTGTCTTTTGCAGTCTCTCCCCATGTCATTCTTGTTCTGCCCTTGGCTCTCCTCCCATCCACATTTAAACTCATGCACCTCTTGACCCAATTGGTCTCATCCATTCTCTCCACATGCCCAGACCATCTCAGCCTGGCTCTATGCAGAACTTATGTCAATATTCTCAATACCTAGCCACCCTCTTAAGTCCGAACAGTGTCCCATTACACATCCACCTTACCATACTCATTTCAACTCGCCCAAGTCTACTTATGTCATCCTCTTTAACTGTGCATGTTTCACTGCCATTCAACATCACACTTCTCACACTAGCAGCATACATTCTTCCTTTCACTTGAAGAACGTACCTCTTGTCATCAATAAAGGCAGCAGCTCCCTAACATACCAGGTACTTTGCAGACTCGGTAGTACCTGATGATTTCGAGGAGGAACTACCAGTTATCCATGAATTCACGTTCTTGACCTCCAGCTCCAGAGTTACAACTGATGGAAATGTAGATACGGTAATTAGAAATTTGAATTGTTGTCTCAAACAAAAATCTGAGTTTTTGGGGCTTGGAATTCATTTATGCTGATATTTCAACTAGCTCCATTTGTCTCCTTCCAGCATTAAGTAAATACAGGCATCCCCCACGTTACAAAAAGGATGCATTCTTGAGAAATTTTCTGTAACATGAAATTCTGTAATGCAAAACAAATTTTCCATTAAAACCCATTATGTACAGTATTTGCAAATGTGTTCCTACAGAAATAATTTAGCCAAAAATTCATAATAAGTAATAATTATAAATGAAAATAAACCTTTTAGACACATGTTAAATGGAAAATTTGATATTTTAAGATACAATGCTACTATGATGATAATAAATAGAAGACTTGAATTTAACTCACCAGAAATGATGTTGACTACTGCCTGTGGTGGTAGTGACTCTGAGACCTTGCAATGGATGTTACTGGGAGGGAGGAGGGGAGGCAGTACTGTTGCCTGCCTCCCCCTATAAATCATCTGATAAAGGGTAATACACTTTACTAAGATACTCTGCTGTCACACTGAGAGGGTGTAAGGCTCACAAATTACTCACTCTCAGATGTAAACAAGACTAGCAGTGTGGATATGCCACATATCCATGATTGTTGGTAAACATTAGTGCCATGAAAACAACGTAGTATTTTATTTTGATGGTTTTTCTCTTTGCTAATTGTTATATTAAAATTTTGAAAATTTTTGTTTTGTACAGTACTCCGAATTTAGTGGTTATAACCTTCGAACTTCGTAAAGGTTAATTTCCTTAACCTAAATGTATACAGTCGACAGTAGAAGCTCATCCTAACTAACCTGCATGATGTGAGGCAGATGATCTGGTAACACTTTAAATTACAATTATTATCTAAGATTTATGATCGGAGATTGACAAAGAATACATTTCTTGTATATAACTTAAATAGCATCAACATGAAAAATGTAGAAAAATAATATCTTCTTTCCTTTGGAAGACTCCATTTAAGGACTATGTTTATATTTGGCTCAATTTCCTTGCGGTGGGGGGAAAGAGGTTATCCTTTGGTCATATTACTATGCTTATATTTAGAATAACTCTGTATTTGTCTGTGAGGGGGATCTTTGGTGTCCACTAACAATTAGAATTAGTCATTTTGGAAGTATTGTAATAGATATTAAGATGCTGAATTAATTTTGAGTATCACCATTAGGTGCAGAAACATCTTTTTTTCAGATGCTAACTCTTCAGCATATGAGCATTCATTGTCCAAGGAGCAGTTTTGATAGACTTGTCATGGAAGGAATTGGTTACACTTTCCAGCTCTTCTTCTGTTGCAAGATGAGATTGGTATGTTTGTCCAACAAACCAGATCTGATTCTTGGGCATTTTGGGATCTTTTTAAAAAAAAGTTTTGGAATCCTGGCTCCAAGAAAGATGCAGGGAAGGGTTCACAAGTCCCTCCCTTTGGCCTTGGTACAGACCTATGAGAGACTTTTTGTTTCTCTTGGGCATTCACTAATGTGAATCAATCTCTGATGTTGTCAACAAAGCTGACTCTTGGGCTTGAAAGATTTTTTGGGCTTGGAATTGGATAGGGATCCTTTCATTCCCTTAGTCTGGGAGAAGTACAGTAGTTCACAGTTAATAACATAAGAATGGAGGAAACTGCAGCGGCCCTATTGGCCCATACTGGGCAGCCCCATTTAGACCCAACCCCTATCGCTCATATATCCATCCAACCTATGTTTGAAGCTATCCAGCGTATTCGAGTAAATGATGATGTTTGGTAAGTTGTTCCACTCATCCACTACTATTTCCAAATCAATGTTTACCTATTTTGCAGCTAAATATAAATTTGTATAATTTAAAACCATTGTTATGAGTTTACTCCTGGTTGGATAGTTTGAGTACCTTTGTAATGTCACCTTTGTTTAGCCCTGACTTCCATTTATGCACCTTGATCATATCGCCCCTCGCTCTACGTCTCTCAAGAGAGTGCAAATTAAGATGCTTTAACCTGTCTCTGTACTCAAGGCTCTTAAATGCCCGGGATTAGTCTTGTCATTCTCCTCTGAATTCTTTCTAGGGATTCTATATCCAATCTGTAGTACGGTGACCAGAATTGAACTGCGTAATCCAAATGAGGTCTCACAAGTACAAGATATAGCTTTAGGATGACCTCGCTAGCCTTGTAACTAACACTCCTTTGTATGAACCCTAGTACTTTGTTAGCCTTGTTTCGAACAAATACACATTGTTTACTTGGTTTAAGATTCCTACTTATCATTACTCCTAAATCTTTCTCACAGTTGGATTTCTCTATAACATCATTGTTCATCTGGTATCTGGTTTCTCTGTTTACATCTCCTAAACTAAGTACTTTACATTTGTCCACATTAAATTTCATCTGCCATTTTTCAGACCATTTGTGCAACCTTAATATGTATAATATAACACTGAAGGATTAAAGTTTTCTTAGGATTTGAAGAGGCTTGTCTCTGGATTCAGTCCTCCATGGGTGAAGGAGGGTTTGGGAATCAAAGAGAGTGCACCTCTCAGGATACCTTCATGTTCCTCTCATGTAGCTGGCATGTGTGGCACTTGTAAACCTGTGGTGCTCTTTACCCTTTTTCCTAGGATGTAAGGTGCAAGTCATGCTATTATGTGGGGTTCATGCCTCAATCCTTCCCACTTTATGATAATCAGTTGACTAAGAATGTTAAGGGGGTTGGAAACTAAGGGTCACTTGAACCTAAGGCCTGTTGTATAGCCTTCATGGGTTGCATGGTGCATGTACAGTGATGTGATGGTGTAGAATAAAAGCTCTCACTTTTGGGTAGCTGTTTCATCAATGTTATGTCCTTCTCTGTTGGGGCTGTAGTTGAAGCAGGGCAGATCATAATTCTAGTTTTATTGAATTATGAAGCACTGTACAGTATATCCCAATTGCACAAGGAGAGAGTTCCTGGAAACTTGGGGGATTAATCCATATGCATGTTGATGTAAGTATATGCATCACCTAATCCATTGCTTTAGTTATAAAACCTGGGATTTTTGGATCAATCCTCTCATGGTTAACAATCATTACACATCAAAGTGCATCACAGCAGCTTCTGTTATTATTATTATTATTATTATTATTATTATTATTATTATTATTATTACAGTATTATTATATAGTCAACATTATTATTTTCATTGTCATTGACAGAGAGAGGAAAATTTTTTTTGCCATCCTCAAAAAAAATTTCGGTCAGAAATTGTTAGGGAACAGAAAAAAGACAACCGAAAGCAGCGAGAAGCCGCCAAACAGAGACGAGCTGTTGAGAAAGCCGAAGCCAAGGCTCAAAGAGATGCAGAGAAAGCCTATAAACATGCCATGAAGCCAGGAGAATGTATAAAGGTAAGAACTACTTTAGTATCAGTGAACAGTTCTCAATAATTCATTTAAATTTGTCTTGCATTATACTGTATCTTTCAGTGAATGTTAAGTCTTTGGTGTAAATGTTACCTTTCTTTGTTTAAAAGAATTTATTAAATAAAAATAAGAATATGAACTGATTTAAATGGCAATATTATGTCATGGAGAACTTTGAAGTAATTATATATATATATATATATATATATATATATATATATATATATATATATATATATATATATATATATATATATATATATATATATATATATATATATATATATATATATATCATGTAGATCCACAATGAAAACATGGATAAGATAAATCTTGATAAAATCAGGGAAAACAACGGAGCACCTTAGCTTTTCTTTATTCAAGACATCTTCAGAGGCAACTGAAGTTGCCTCTGAAGATGTCTTGAATGAAGACGAAAGCTAAGGTGCTCCGTTGTTTCCCTTTTCCCGTGTGATTTTATCAAGATATATATATATATATATATATATATACTGTACTGTACTGTACTAGTTTTTCTCATGATAGTGAATGCAGCCCAGTTGGACAAGTCACCCAATCCATGCCATGCTTGTTATAAATACAATTTCAGAATCATTTCCTAATTTTTTTGAAACTTGAATAAGAATTTGAGTGTTTCTTCTAATATGAGCATCCTGTTCTTTACTCCTTTCTTAAAATACTGCACTGTATTCTACAGTAAATCATTTTAAAATTATACAAATTCTAATTTTAAAGTTATATTTCTGTTTTGTGTAATAAGCACGTAATAGTCCAGCTGGACCGTCAGCTGCTGGAGCTTGCAGAAGGAAGCCAAGTAATAAGCCAACTACAGACTGGAGGCATTCGCTACCGCATTGTTGATTCTGCTGTTGCTGCTGCTGCAACAATAGTGAGGGTTGACCCAGTCACTCGACAGGTTTGTTTATTTTGCTCTTTACTTAGATTTATTTTCCAAAATGCTATTTAAAGTTTAATATATATATTATAAATGTACTGCATTGAGCAACAAGCGTGATCCTTTTTGATAGGTTGAACTTGAACTCTTGTTGGAATATACAGTAACTTGCTGCCACCCTAGTACTGTATGCCAGCACTGATTGTTGTTCCCTATTGGACACAAAGCTTGATGCAAATCTAGAATCTGCTGGCAGGGTTAACCAACCCATAAAACTAGGGGTTGCTGTGTACAGTAGTTAACTGCCTGAATAAACTATACATTTTATTGCACAGTTTACCATTCCTGCAGGGGATATTTTCCTTGGCACGACCATGATTTAGGATATGTTTCTGGGCCATTCAAACTTTACCTCAAAACACCTACAGTTGAAGTACAAAGCCATAGAAATGGACAGAGTACAGTACTATACTGTAGTGACCAATAAGCAGTATAACCTCTTATCTTAAAGCATAGGAAATAATGGTATCATTGAATAAAGAATCTTAATAAATACATTATAAGAACCTGACAGTAGATCAAGACCTGCAGTATATGACTTTGTATACTTTAATATGAGCCATGAAGTTTGTTCTTCATTGGCTCCATAAATGCATTTTAACTACTTAATTCACTAATGTGTTTTGTATGTATCAGATTTTCTATTTTCCCCTTACAGGAAACACCAGCAGAAGAAGCGGTAGTTATAATGGCTGTAAATGATTTTGTTGAGGTAGTTAAAAAACAAGTGTACGAAGATGGAGTGGAAGGCTTATGCCACCAGTCCCGCAAGTGGAAAAGGTCATTTAACAATGCCAATTTAACACTTGTTGTTTGTGGTGTTGAAGTTTACTTAAGGTTAGTACAGTATATATATATATATATATATATATATATATATATATATATATATATATATATATATATATATATATATATATATATATATATATATATATATATATATATATATATATATATATATATATATATATATATATATATATATATATATATATATATATATATATATATATATATATATATATATATATATATATATATATATATATATATATATATATATATATATATATATATATATATATATATATATATATATATACATATATATATATATATATATATATTTGAATTTTTTTGCCTTTCTCAGTTCATTTGAAAATGACCAAGAAAGCTAAGAAGACTACCGACTTATTCCCTTAGAAAATTGTTAGGTCCAGCCCCCCAAAAAAGAATCATTAGATTTTCCATCGCTACAGTTTGAAATGCTAGACGAAATGCTTTGATGTGATCCCCAGTGCATCATCATAAGTTGGTACGCCTGCTCGCCATATCAATAACAGCTAGAGATAGGAGGTAAAGTTGAGGGAGGAAGTCATCCTGTATGGCAAACTAGATACTTTATATTACTTCATCTTATTCCTCAGAGGAGTTGGTAACTGAAAAGAATTCATTTTCAGAATCGGTAACACTGTTCATAGCGTCAGCTGTTGTGGTGGTGGTTGCGGCCAGGACATGTTAGTGTGAATCTGTATGTCTGGTATTTCTCAAAAGCTAGGGTTCAATTTTACAAGAGATATATGAGAAACTCAGGCTTTTTTACCAAAAAATCAGGGGTTGAACTATACTGTATATGGTAGATTTTTTATGTATTTCATCTAGGATGCAGGGCAGCTGGGCACTTGTTGATCCCCTGACTCTTAGTATTGGAGTAGCCCACAATAGCTGGATCCTAATCCTCAACATTTATTCCTTCAGAAATAAGAAGACGCACAGCCAGCAAAATTTCCGATCTGCTGTGCTAGGAGGGACTACAAAACCAATGAGAGGAAGAAAACAGAAATCTGGAGGTGAATTCCATAACAGCACTGCAACTTGTGTGAGCAGGTAAAAGTATGGAAGTAACTACAAGGGAGATTCTTGACTTGAGGTAACCAAAAGTTAGAATGTATAGTATAAGGTTTCCTACATCTGACGTGATGAACTTGCCGTCTTATGAGACTTGTAATTTGTTCAGATAATACATCACTTAAACTCTTCTTTACCGGTGTAAACAAACTTATCCCTCCCTCATACCGCACTTCTCTTCCAGACTACACAGTGCGAGGTGGGTGTTATAATTATCCCTGTACCCACACTGTTTATTCATTGTTAATTATTTATATATCTACAATCACTAACCCAACAAAATGTAGTTCCCATGAAAAAATATAAGTAAAATAAATTATGGTATGCTTTCATCTACAGCCTATATATTATACTAAAATGTTCGTAGTTGGCAAATGGATGAGTATACAGTATAAGTGTGAAAATTATAGCTTACATAGAGTAATGTTTTGTTTATTACCTTGTGAGTGATGTACTGTAGAGTTCTTATAAAAAAGCGTCTGATCTTTTGTCTGCAAATGGATCTGATAAGAGCGTAAAACAAGGAATGGAGGGGCTGGGGAGGGAGGTGGTGAACCTCTGTTGACTGATAGCTTAACAGAAGTGCTTCCACTATTAATGTCTTCACTATTATCTAACTCTTTTTCAGGATTATAATCACGGTCATATTCATCTAAAGTGTCTTCTGAAAGATTATTATCACTTTCTGAGTAATGTTCAAACTCATCTTCACTATCAGAAGTGTCTAATGGTGCCATGGCTACGGAGAACAAAGTATATCCCACGGTAGGAAAGGCATGAGAATACTGGCCACCAGCTTGGCATCAACTACATATTCAAACATTACATCTAAGGGGGTTACTATAATACGATTTTTCAAAAGCAATTATTTTTTGGGTGCAGGTAGTCATTGGTTATTTCCAAAGACTTTGTTGGCATAATAAAAGAGTATTGCCACCACCTGGTGTAAAAATAAGGCCCAGACCATGCTTACCTTGCATCTGAAAACATCCACTGCTTAGTGTGGTGCATGTACTCACGGTCAGCTGTCACAGTATGATTTGGATGCTTACACGGATAATACACCTGTTCCACATAACAAGATTTTGGTATAGGTTAAAGGTTTGTGTAGCCAGGCAGGGGCATAATATGCACTACCATCAGCATTTTTTCTCTCATTAACTTGAGGATCATATTATTATAGTATACTGTAGATAAGTGCATGACTGGTCTGATAATAACTTCACTCTTGTGATTTTTGTACAAAATGATCTCACTTCATTTTTGATTTTCAGAGTTGACATAGAGACTGCTCTTGTGACTGCACAGCTTGAGTGTGGTCTTAATCACAGGTTAATGGCAGATGCCAGTGGAGTTGCCACTTTCATCTTGCAGATTACCAAAGCTGTAGCTGAAGCACCTTTCAAGTAAGTCCAGGTTACCAGGAACAAAACTTGTGGCTGGAATCTAAAAATCTAATAAGTAAAAAAAAAATAAAATCCTTCACTATCATACCAAACTCCAGCAAGGCAGAAACTTGGTAAGAATGCTTACCTTGGGAGCTGAAAGTTAGAAGTACAGTTCCGTTTAGAAGTTCGTTATACACTCGCGGTAAAGGGCGCATAGCCTGTTGCACCCTTCCTGGACGCCAGATCATTATGCTGACCCTCCCACCAACACACAGAGTGGAACAGACAATGGAACAGTTTGATTCGAATGAAGACTCATCAAAAAGAGATAGGAAGGATATGAATATGAGTATTGACTAACGGTAGTGCTGATGGATGATATAGATGTGTTAATATACAGTACTGCTTACCAGAAGAAGAACACCATAATGTTAGGAATGTATATATTCTGATATCAAAACACAATGGGGAAATTGGTTTCGAATGAACACTGTAAGAAATAGTTGAACAGAGCTCATAATCAAGAGTCTTCAGTGTATTCATTACTTGAAGTTTTCTGTACAATACTCTCTCTCTCTTATTACTGACCACCTACACACGTTCACTTCTCACACATACACACCCATGCCCTTCATTTATCTTATTCTATAGTTTTATATCGGCTCTAGCTGAAGCTAATCCATCTCTGCTTCACTAAAATTATGATTTAGTTGGTAACAATAAAGATAGTGGTGATGATGATAGGGGTGGTGAGGGACATTGTGGTACCTGTAACTGAAGGAGTTGGATTTTTTTGGAGATAATTAGGCATAATTATCATTGCTAAAAATTTGGATGTGATATGGGATGATGGAGTACATTTAGCAATGGCTATTCACTGAACTTGTGGGTGAGGTAGTAATATGTTGAGTAAAACTGACACAGAATGGAAGCTTTCACAGTTGTATGTTGCTGTTTTGATGTGTTTTGTATCTTTCCACAGACATGAAAAAGGTGAACCATCATTTTCATGGTATGCAGAAGGTAGCAGTATAAATGCTGTGAAGATTGATAAATCAGGAGTTGGATTACTAAAGCTCTGGCACCAACAGCTTCGGCAGTTTAACAATGTTGGTGTTGAGGTTGCACAGGCTATTGCTAGCAAGTATCCTTCTCCTTGTGCTTTACTGCAGGTGAGTGAATGAGACCATAGAAGTACAGTAGTCTTCCAATAATGCAAATTAGGGACCGCTAGGGGCCTGTATTATTGTGTAGACATTAAACTGTGACATATGTTTACATGTTAAATATACCACTGCATCTGAACATCAGGAAGTAGACACTAAAATAATTTAATACACACTATAAAGAGCTAAGTGAATTTATTCTACTCAGAAAAGTATCTTCGTTGTCACTCTCTCATGATGAGCCTGATCCTGGTATGGAACAGGCAGCCTCAGGTCTCACATCTGAAGGCAGAAGGAGGTCATAGGAGGAACAGGCGATTCCTTTTTGCTTCCTATTTCTCTTCATCATGGAAGATACTGCTTGAGGAGATCCATCCCGGCAGGGGGGGGGGGGGGCACTGTAAGTCCCCCAGAATTTTTAGGAGGAAATCTGACCAATATCATGGGCATTTTGAGGCCATTTTCAACCCATGCGCACTTGATATCAGGAGATATTCTGAGGTCAATTGTAATTACTTTTTACCATGCAAATATGCCTGATTAGAATACATTAGGGTCGGGAAATATCGCAAGGTAGGGTCAAAGGATGTTCGCCATATGCTAAATCGCGATATATAATTACATGTAATCAATGGGGAAAATAGGGTTAGGTTCTGGAAGGCAATAAAAGTGACTAAACTTGACTGAACGAGTTTATTTTCTTATGAACTAAAGCACCAATGAACACTAGACTCGGGAACACCACCCTAGACGTGTCTGTATTTCCATTGCCTCATTCTTTATCATTGGACTCGATATGGCAACTTTACGGCATTGCCTGTTTTCAAGAGCTGAATCAGGAAGACTGTGCGGGCGAGCGTGAATGCGTGAGTGAGCAGCCACTGTGGCGACTGGTGAGCAAATAATGCATTTGTTTGCCCTGGCGGTACATTTGAAATATTTCCTGCCCGATTTCCCTCACGAAATAAATAGAATTATCACTACATATTGGAAAATGTCGATAATTTTGGTAGTCGCGATATAAAAATCTTCATAAAAAATTGCTATATATCCCGACTGTACTGTACTGCATTAAAGATAAAATAGTGGAATTTTCTGATGAAAAGGGGGAGTCCAGACCCCCAGGATTCTCCCCCCCTCCCCTGTCAGTTAAGATTACAGTATATGATTGAGCATTTAAAAGGAAAATTTTGCCCCCACTTTCCTTCCTTTGTTATGAGGGACAATAAGTGTGGTAAGTAACAATACATTATGACAATTTTTCTAAATCTAACATGGCCCATCAATAATTTATCACCAGCAATATACTGGTGCTCAGCATCTCATTTTAAGTCACACAGTAATAGAACCAGCTCGTGGTTCTGCCTTGCTAAGTTTTTATTGTTCATAACCCCAAAATATTTGGATCCAGGAATTTAAAGTATCCAAAGTTATTGTTTTGTCTAGGACATGCAGGGTTGGTTTGACTGGTGGTCTGATGTATCAAACAGTGGCCCCAAGTAACTATATGTCCAAGTCTCTTGTTTGGTTGGAGGAGGAGGAAGGTTCTTGTACAATACGTATATAAATTGTATTGTTGGAATTCTAGAATTAATGACAAATTTGTATTACATATCAACACATATGTAAGGTAAAATACAAAGATACTTAATGATCATAAATTTCTTTACAGTCTTACAGGAAGTGCCTCATGCCACAAGAAGCATCACTTCTCCTTGCAGATATTCCTGTACGAAGGGGAGCTGGTCCACTTACATCCTCAAGAAGAGTTGGTCCAGAACTGTCCAAGAAGATCCATTTATTTCTAACCACAAAAGATTCTGAAGTAAGTTTAGGACAGACAACATGAATCATCATCAACATTGTTGGAATGTATTTTAAATAATAAAGTTTAAACTTTTCTTTGTTCCAAATTTATTTACTGCTACAAGAAACCGGGTGTAGGTATTATTTAATTTCCAAATTTTTTTTTTACCTTGTTTCAAAAGGGAGATGTGCATATAGAAGCAACACACATTGATTCGTACCTTTTATCCAAGTGAAGAATGGATTAGCTTAACGGGTAGTCCAGGCACTGACGAGGCGGCTGGTGCCAATGAAGTTGAGACCACTAAGTCTGAGACCGAGACCTGGCCTTCCAAGACTGACACCGTTCACAATTTTAGCATTTATGGATCACCTGAAGAGTATCTGCCCAGGTAGTGTCATGATGGTTAAACCTCAAGTGGAGTATGTTGGAGGGGCTAATCTTCAGGTGACAACTAAGGTGTAGTGTGTTGGGACCAAACAGAAGGAAAGAGGGAGGTTGAGGGACACTGTAATAAACTTGTCTTTTATGAAGACTGAAAAGCAACTTAGGCATGGGCAGCAAGAGGAGGTCTACTGGAACATGTGACAAAAATTATGAAAAACCTAACCTAACCTACGTGCAATGCCATCATATATATATGTGTACAAGTCATGTGACTCTTTTTTCCTGTGACTTTATTTCCGTTCACCGTATGAATATCAGACGGTGAATATTCAGTTTAAAAAGTTTCATTGAGTCATGTGAAAATTGGACAAGGGCTAGCTACAGAGATTACTGAAAACTGAAGGCTGATGGGTTGAAGACTGCACAGGCCAGGGTTATGACAACAGCTAACATGGCAGGGAAATACCAGGGTGTGGAAGCAAATATTATGGACATAATATTAGAAAGGTTTGTACCCTGTATGGTCCACACAGTTAATATTGTAGGTGTACATGCAGTATTTCTTCAAAACCTGGACACTTTTACAAGGATACCCGTGACATCACATATGATGTCACCCCACCACTGGGTTACATGCACCCCAGAGGGAAACTACATGTGAAATATATTTCTTTAACCATCTCCTGATGTTTTATTACCATTTCTAGGGTATCTATATCTCTTTTATTAAAATTAATATCCAGATCTGCTGAAAATTATTAATAAACAAGATGTAGCTTACTTATTTTTCATTTTCAGCAGGTCTGGATTGAAGATTTGAAAAGAAGAGATAAAACTATTCCAGAAACGGCAATAAAAACATGGGGTTAAAGAGCCGGTTAATCCCTTCACCACAATAACGTACTTCAAAGATTTTGTTCGGATTAACGCCAAACGAGTAATTCATATGTCTAGGAAATGTCTTATGTTTTAAAATCCATCTTCAAAGTTGAATAATTGGTTGAGGGCCTCCATCTTTACGGCTTCTTGTGGCGCGTGTTTATCTGGATACACTCGGAAACAAAAAACATCCCCTGTGCATACCACAATATCCTCAACTCACAAACCCCTAATATCAACTCATTTTGACTTATCTGTGGGAAGCACTGGCTGAAGAACACAACCAACAGGACTACATACAACTGGCATCTTACCTCTGGGGCCACTGCCTCTGAATTGCACTCCCATGTTAACACCAGTGACAACACAATCAGGTTTAGATAGCCTAAATAAAACTCTAAGATATAACAAGTGTAAGTGTTCACTAGCTTGTAGATGGTAGAGAAAATCATGTGGACCTCGAGGGCTTATTGGAGAGGGTTACACCATCATGACTTCCAAGTCTTCAGAAGCACAATTAAAATTTACTGAATTGATGCATTATTTAGTTAAAGGTTACGAGAAAATATCTAGAGGTTTGCAGGTTTTCCTCGGGGTTATGTGCGTCTGTATCCCTCCAGGGGTGCTCAATGAGTCATCCATTACTCAGGCTTCGTCGTCTCGAAATCCTGAGTTTTCTTCTTAACTTTGTCAACCGCCGCATGGTTTATGTGTAGCGGTCTCCTTGTATTCCTGGAGGCACTGGGTTTGGTCTTGGGTATATATTTATTGATCAAATGATTCACTTTCCTGGCTATGGTATTCAGTCTAGTATCTGCGGGCCAGTGTATACCCTCCATCATCCCGTCATCGTATTTCCTTTGTGATATTTTAGCTTAGACCTGGAATAAGTACCCAGTAGGTAAGTAAAATAACATCAGATTAGGTTAGATTCTTTCAGGTATGTTTTTAATTCCACATTTTCTCTCTTTGAAGATAGGAAGGGTCACAACTCGGTAATTAGGCATATCCCCAAATTTTCATTGGCACCATGCATCCAAGAAAACTATTATTTTTTTCTATGTCGAATATTATATATTATATTTTATGTTTAGTTACGTTTTTACGATTGGCCAGATTTGTCAACTATTTTCCACGCGTATTTCTGAAGAGCCTATAGTATACTCGCACGCGTTTGGTACCTAATTGGTTGCCACGTGAACTTCTTTACACAGAATATTGTAATGTACTTAATTTTTTAGTTAAATTAAAATTGAGTAAATTAATTAAATTAATATTTATTATTTTTTAGTATCAATTGTACTTATGTATCAATATAATAAGCATTCATCTCTACCCGAACGCACAGATCAAGGGAGGTCAGTGGTTGTTTAGGTATATGCCTGACGGTGACGGGCCGGAGGCGAGGGGTTAAATGTGAACACTGGAGACTTACGCAAAGTGGTTATATTGATGTTAGAGTTAAAAAACAAGTTGTGGCTACACTGAATTTGGTTGATGAAAACTCCTTGTGTAAACGCAGTTTAAGTGAAAGAAAAAAATGGTGATATTGTTTGAAAAATTACATTTAAAATATAGATAGATTAAAACCACCATCATAATAACATCTCATCATCACTGGTAAGTTCAAATACTTTGTTTAAATCTTCAGGTACAGCACGCATTACTGTATATACAGTAATCGGCATATCACAAATCTCGCTGTTTATGAATTTAAAAATGCTGCAATTTCACTGTTTTATAGTGGACACGGTAATAGTTTTGGCAAATGCGTTAAAAATTGGTTATTTCTAAATTAAATCTAATCTAACTCGAGTTGATAAGAAAAACAAGCGGCAAAGGTGTTTTTAGATGACTTCACCAACCTGACCAAAGAAAACTACCGAACGAACGTAACTTCCTAGCCGTGAGGCTCCTCCCTGCCGGACCCCTAGGAATATTAAACAGAAAGAACAATGATATGATGTAATTTGACGTGTTTTGTGGACGTGAGAGCAGCCACCAGGATAGTGTTGTTCATAAACATCACAGGCGACTGGCGTGATGGTCGATCGGATATTTACTTTTATCCTCTTCACCACTGATTGGCTTGTTAGCCGCTTGGGCGATCGGTCACGTCTCTGTTGTACCCACTGTTGGCACATCACCGTCGAGGAAGACGAGTAGTGCCGCCAGACAAAATAGTGCGCGCCTAGTCGCCTAACTATCCACCAAAGGAAGCAATTTCCAAAGAAAAAATTATTATCATATCAGAACTCACTAATGAAAATATAGTAAGAATATAATAAAAACAAATAACGCATCGGCGGGTTAGTCGTCAATGTTAGTCCAATGTAGCAATCGCACAAAATTGTGTCAGATGGACGAGTGGATACTTGTCCATTATTTCTAGGAAGATAAACCAAGGAAAAAAAATACGAAATTGGAACTACAGCCCTTGATGTACATTTTTTTTTTACGAAAGGAAAAGGATGTGTTCAATGCAACATTAGTTAGTAATTGTGGTTTAGTTGTTTGTACCGCTCGTACCATGATTCACCACGCGCCTCGTGTCAGAACGATGTCATTTCAGTATTAATACATAGCGGTAAATTGGTAACAAAAGGCGAGAAGTGAGTAATAAGTAATGAAAAGGATATACAGTAAGTTCCAGTGGGGAATTTAAGGGGGAGGGAGCGCAAAGGGAATGTATCCCCTCCCCTAGTTAGTGCCGATTAAGTCCCTTTTTTATTTGTACTTTTCTAACCTGTCAAGTGTCCACGTCTAGATATGAGACATCATGTTATTATCACACTCTTATTTAAGGTGCACAGAAACATTTAACGATTGGTTAGTTTCAATATATACTGTATATATTTATTTGTTTAAATTTGCTTCCCCCAGGCTTTAAGGTTTTGGTTCCCCGCTGAATTGTTTAGTATGATGTATGAGGCTCGCTGACAACTCTAACGGCATGATAACAAAGTGTGGCAACTGTTACTTATTGAGCAACACCGTATATTACCAGCCGCAGGAGCAAGTCTTGCCACATAATCTGCCTCTTATAGTTATATATGCTCTCTTGAGATCATATATCACTTGTTCTAAATGACCTGATACAAAATTTATAAAATCCACTTTAATGGTGTAAGGCGTTTACCTGTAAATGTGTGTGGTTATGTTTTATTTGCATGTGTGTGTTTTGAAGGTGTTGCCATAAAGGTGCACTTGTACTGTACAGTATATGTACAGTCAACAAAATAATGTCTTCACCCTGGGTCAGACCGCCTTCGTAACGATCACCGACTGAGGCTATATTTAGTTGGTGAGGTTGATAGTTCTGATTGTATGATGCTTATTTATAACCAACACTATGTATTCTGTATATCACGTATAGTTAATACAGTACAGAGAAATTAACAGGAATACATATAAAACCCGCACGTCTGTCTTAAGTCCGGTGTGTCACGTACAACATCGTGAAGGTGCATTTCTTTGTTTACGGTTCCTTCCTGTGTGCTTTGGTACTTGTAATTGTCTTTGTGTGTACATTATAACTACCGGTATACCAGGTAATGTCGGGTCTTCACAAACGCCTCCGGCACATTGACGCTGATCATGTGAAGGCTAAACCTTCCATTTCTTATGGAAGAGGAACATGTTGTTGTCTCACTTTTCTGGTGTTTTACGTAAAAACTCCCAGTTACTTATAATGATTTACACAGGAAACCTTGCAACGTTTGGAGTACTGTGAACAATTAGTTTTATCGGAAGGAATATTTTCACAAATCTCATCATCGCCATTGCAAACACGAGCATGAAAACTGTAGATAATGATTGGGATGTTCA